GTGACGAGAACATTAATTAATTAAGTATTCCAATCTGTCCTTATTCTTTTTCCCTCGACCTGTAATGAGACTCAAATCGTTGATTCCGCTCTAGAAATTCGACGATCGTACCGAACGAGAAACTTCCGGAATCTCTGTTACGTGTATCGACGCTTGTTAATTCCGTGAAGCTTTATACCTAAGTTATCCCGTTTCTCGTGAACATAGTGATCTAGGAGCATTGTCCTTTTTATGCTTTCAGGTAAAATCACTTGCTGTATTTCTATCAAAATAGAAACTTATTACAATTGGCTAAAAGTTGGCTACTATCTGCGTCTCAGTACTCAAAAGAGTCCAAAGTAAGACGAAAATCAAGAATACCAATTTGTTGATGGAGGCTTCGTTAAAAAGTTATTAACAATTATATTCAAAAATTTCAAATCGTTTTGGAAAAATTATTTTTGGTTGCGGGGGTTAATTGCAATTATTTTTGGTCAATAGACACACCCCCGAAATCCTGCTCAGTTTTGAGAAAAAAATTTGTATAGGTAGACAAATTTTTCGGGGGAAAAAGAATTTCAAATCGTTCTGGAAATAATGTTTTCCGTTGCAGGGGTTAATTGCAATTATTTTTGGTCAATAGACATATTTCCGAAATCCTAACCATTTTCGAGAAAAAAATTTGTATAGGTAGACAAATTTTTCGAGGGAAAAAAAATTTCAAATCGTTCTGGAAAAAATGTTTTCCGTTGCAGGGGTTAATTACAATTATTTTTGGTCAATAGACATATCCCCGAAATCCTAACCATTTTCGAGAAAAAAATTTGTATAGGTAGACAAATTTTTCGGGGAGAAAAAAAATTCCAAATCGTTCTGGAAAAAATATTTTTGGTTGTGGGGGTTAATTACAATTATTTTTGGTCAACAGACATATCCCCGAAATCCTGCTCAGTTTCGATAAAAAAATTCGAGAAGGTGTGAAATTTTTCGACGGAAAAAAAAAATTTCAAATCATTTTGGAAAAAATGTTTTCCGTTGCGGGGGTTAATTACAGTTATTTTTGGTCAATAGACATATTCCCGAAATCCTAACCATTTCCGAGAAAAAAATTCGGGTAGATGATAAATTTTTCGGCGAAATTGAAAAGTTTCAAATCATTCTGGAAAAATTATTTTTGGTTCCGGGGGTTAATTACAATTATTTTTGGTCAATAGACATATCCCCGAATTCCTGCTCAGTTTCGAGAAAAAAATTCGAGAAGATATGAAATTTTCCGACGGAAAAAAAAAATTTCAAATCGTTCCGAAAAAATTATTTTCCGTTCCACGGGTCAATTGCAATTATTTTTGGTCAATAGACATATCCCCGAATTCCTGCTCAGTTTCGAGAAAAAAATTCGAGAAGATATGAAATTTTTCGACTGAAAAAAAAAATTTCAAATCATTTTGAAAAAATTATTTTCAATTTCAGGGGGCAGTTACAATCATTTTTGGTCAACAGATATACCCAAAAAATCCTGCGCATTTTCGAGAAAAAAATTCAGTAAAAAAAGAAAATTCATGAAATGCTTTTAAAAGGATCGTTTCGAGTGCTTGAAATATTCGAGTACTTGGAAAACGCTAATAGGAATGATTTCCCGATCCAATTGCGCGGCGCACCCTGTTTAAAACAGCAAAGGTCTGGATGAAAAGAATGACAGGAACGTCTTGAAAGGAATTCGTGCACCGTTCGTCGTTTACCATCGATAGAAACATCGAGGCGACGAGACGTGCGTTTACTTCGGCCATTGACTTGTAACGGGTTCGGTCTATGGGCTCTGGTTTGTTGCGGTTCATTTAGGCTGCACAAATTTAACCTGTTCATACGTCACTGTTCTCGATGGCCGAGGTACATGTATATTCCAGTCCTACATTCTACGTTCCACATATTTTCCTTTTTACTTTCCCGGTTGTTATTTAACAGAGAAGAATTGTATCTATCGAACAAAATTTCACGCTGCATCCACCGTAAACTTTTGCAGTTTACTATGCTTCGAGGTACCCTAGATCTAAAAATATAAAAACATAAAATTCTGTACAGGTAAAGGTATTTATCTTGGCCTCTGTTTCGCTTCATATCTCAGAAGTGATTCATCAGAGTGGTATAGCGGGTTCTATATCAAATTTCTGAATAGAAAAATCAAATTAAATTTCTAGTTTTGTTAGAGATTTATCTATCAATTTGGCTACCATGTCACTCATACAAAACAAAGCTCTGATCTCGTAGAAAATTTAATAGGTTTTAAACCGAAGAAAGAAAGTTTTGCAACAAACGTCGGCTTTTAAGTCGAGAAGAAATTGTCACGTGCGATCGAGCGAGAAATGCCCGGTGAAAAGTTAAATGACACGTTCGCGGCATGAAAGTCGCGGTGTAATATTACTGCGCGAACGATGGTATTTCGCATTTGTGCAATGGCCTGTCCCAAGGTTAAGCTCGTACGCCATAGTAAGGCACAAAGTAATTGCCGGTACACAGAGAATTGCGCCATATTTCGAAATCACATACGCCCCTCGCGTAGTCACGTGTACGAAACGGGTTACGGACTTTCTCCGAGAACTCCCCCCCTCTTGCTTTTCGAGAAACGTGCAAACAGAAATCAAATCCAAGACGCAATATTTCGAAGGATTTTCGAATACTCGGGAAGAATCATCGAACAATTACTATTTTTCGAAGCATGATCTATAGTATAAAACAGTGTACAATTCTCGAGCTTCGCCTTCTCGTTGACCCCCCACAATAAAGACAAACTATGACTCCTGCACACAATTTGAAACTATTTTTAAGAATCTTTATTTAATCTAAACAGTTCTTGACTTGTACTCTTCATGAGGCTTACTAAAATTATACTAAAAAATAAATCCCTATTCAAATGTTTATATAAAAATTATTTCATTCGATGTACATTCATATTTTAATCATGAAAATCAAATTTTGTTAAGGATTCTCCAATGTACATCCAAAACAATAAAAGTATGCTGTCAAAGAGGGTACCAATTAATCGTTACTTTTTGAGACCATAGTCTCTCGATTTCAACCTGGTGCAATCCCTTAATTACAAACTACTTATTTTATTTTTTTATTTTAACCAAATTAATGTCTTCGTAATTTCCAATTAAATCCATTTGTCTCGACAAGAATTATTAGCTCTATTGGTACTTTTATTCGATAATTTTCAGGTGTACTTCCGCCATTGCTGTCACTGGTACTCGCAGGCGTAATCGGTACCGCGGTGGCAACCTCCAGCTGCCCATGGGCGCAACAGGTGCCCGATCTCGAGAGTTCCTGTATCTGCGACTACAATCTGGCCAGGGAACTTTCGGTGCAATGCGACATCGTCGATTACGAGCAGCTCACGTCCGCCATGCGGCGTTACGCGACCAAAACTACCGTGGATCTATTTTACGTGAACAACAGCACGATAGGGACGCTGAAGAATGACTCATTCGCGGCATTTAGGATCAACAATATGCAACTGTCCGGCTGTCAAATCAGAACCATCGAGCCGGAAGCTTTCAGAGGCCAGGAGACCTCTTTGAAGAATCTTAATATGAAAGACAACGAGCTGACGGAGATTCCCAACAATGTTTTGAAGACCCTAAGGAATTTGACTGTGCTGGACCTGTCGATGAACAAGATAACAAAAGTGAACGATAACACTTTCGTAGGCTCGAAATTAGTCACGCTGAAACTGTCCGACAACGAAGTCACTCTTTCTCCAGGGTCGTTCCGCGGTCTGGAGAGATCGCTGAAGAACTTGAACTTAAAGGGGACCAGGCAGAAAAAAGTGCCGGAGGGTCTGAGGGGTTTGAAGACCCTGGCCTTCCTGGACCTATCGCAGAACAGTATTCGAGAACTGCCCGGATCAGCAGGGATAAAAGCCTTCGAGGGGCTGGAATCGTTAACTGGATTGAACCTCGAGAGGAACTTGATTCAAAATATTGGATCGGACGCTTTCTACGGGATTAAAAACACTTTGAGCTCGCTGAGCCTGCTGAACAATCTGATCCCGGATTTCCCTACGGCTGCTATCAACAGCGTTCAGGATCTTAGAGTAAGTTAGGAATTATTTCAAATTTCATGGTGTATGATTAACGTGATTCGTGATTTAGGTACTGGATATTGGATTCAATTTGATAACGGACCTGCCGGTAAATGCATTCCAAAAGAATCCATCGATAACCCTTCTGGCGATCGATGGAAATCCTCTATCGACTATCCCGGAAGAAGCTCTCGCTCGATTGAACGGAACTCTTCGAGGGCTGAGTTTGGGGGGTCGATTCCTGGTCTGCGATTGCAGATTGCGATGGATCGTGGAGTGGATAAAAACCAGGGACCTGCAGGTGACCAGTCGGGAACGGAAACCACAGTTCTGCGGGAGCCCACAAAATCTGCAAAACAAAAGCTTCTACAATATCGATCCGGAAGGTAATAATTAAAATACCGATCTAAATTATAATTACACATTGCCCTATAATTCCCCGTAGAAATGAACTGCGAAAGAACACCAGAAATCATCGGAATCGGTACGGTGGAAAGCGTGGACACGAGAGAACCAACGGGACCTTTAGGAGTAGCGAGTAGCTACAGCCCAGTCACGCGACCCTCCGTCTCTGTTTCGACTGTAACAAGTCCAACGACAACCATAATGACGACAACTACCACGACGACCACGACACCTGCGCCGTCTACGACTGAACAGAAAAAAGCTGAAACATCGCCTTCGACTACGTCAAGATCCACCACTAATAGACCAACAGTTGCTCGAACGGGCAACGTTGTAATAATGAGGACTACATTGTCCCCCCCGAAACACGTTCAGGACCATCTGCAGCCTCATCAACCGAGGCCGCCATTGGTACTTGGTTCCCCACTATATAAACCGAAGTCCAATGAGAAAGACATAATAGTTAAGGACGTGCTTAGGCAAGACAATGCTGTGATCATATACTGGGACACGGACGTGGCGAACATTTTGGGTTTTAAAGTCATCTATCGGCTGTTCGGTGACAACAACTTCAAGCAGGCACCGCCTCTCGAAGCCAGCGAAAGAGAGTTCAAAATAAAGAACGTTCCTTCGCAGGTAAATGTATTTTTTGATTACCGTTAGTCAAGGAAAATGGCGTCGATTACATTGGCCTTTCTTCAATTCTCTTTTTAATTATCTGAGAAGTATCGACGCTACGCTCTTCTACGACACACAGCAATTAAGTTCCCAATTTCACAAATTGTATCTTTCATCTCAGGAGTGTATCGTAGTCTGCGTGGTCTCGTTGGAGGAAACCAACATTACCCCGGCGAACGTGCCCTACAACCAATGCAGGGAGATAAGAACGGAAAATTCGCCAACGTCCAACATGGACAAAATCACTATCGCTGCTAGTGCGGCCATATGCGCCACGATAGTGGTTGCCGTAATAATATTCATCGTCGCGAACCGTCGAAGGGCCAGGAAACTCCACACGCTTCACAGCATCGATCAAACAAAAATGGGCGGTCCAATCGCTGGATTGCCGGTTAACTGTTGCTCTAATGTTGGTCCAACACCCAGCCCTGGTGGGCCGTTGTCTTCAATGGCAACACTCAGTGCTTACAATGCTCAAAAGGAATGGGACCAAGTGTCTGCATACAGCAACAGAAGCATACCAAGACCAAGGATATTTCCTGTGGACCGACAAGGTACAAAGAATAATAATAAGCCTTAAATCTTATAAAAAATTGCATATAAATATCAAACATTTCACAACTATTCAATCCTAGGGTCGATAACAAGAGCTTCCTGCATTGACGAGGTCAGATCTCAGACAGGACACTACAGTGGAAAGGTATCAACCCGGTCCGTAGTCGATGGTCAGTCGCAACACAGTTTTTCAAACACTTCTACAAGATACTTTGCAAACAACACTTTGTCATCCAATCTGGCCAGCACGAGACCAGGTCAGCGTTCATTAATAAATTGCTTGGTAACTTTGATAAGTACAAGTGTTTGCAAGTTATCAGTATTGATGGTTTCTTTTGCAGAGCTAAGACAGTCTCGACAGTCCCTGGCAGCAGCTTCCGACAGAATGCCACGAACAAACTTCTCACCGAGTCACATGCCATCGCACACTTCCTCCAGAAGGCAGAGACCACGGTCATGTAACCGCACCTTGGAGCAGAATCCACCTCGACCGGGTAGCCGATACAGTATAGCTGACTCGACGCATACTCTCAACCATTACGAAGAAAACAATTGGACCGATCATGACATGGACATATACATGGCACGTAACCCAACCACGAGGACTGGTCTCATGCCTCTTTAACTCGACACACGATATGTGTACGGTTTTGCTCAAACGTGTTCAGTGACAATCTTTTTTGGAGCATTTGGACTGCTCTCACTCGATTAGGTGTATCATACATGACATTTTAGGAGATATAAAATTCGTAAATAGTTTAGTGTTTATTAGTATAATTATTGCAGCCTATGTTATTGCAAGTATCAACGTTGGGAGCAGCATTGTGAGCATCTACAAGACTGAGAGGTACCTCTGCCATCTCTCAATTATAAATCATTTCTTTCTCCTGCTCAGATACTTTCTCATAGCTATGCAAAGTGGTCTTTAATGTATTCCTTCTGATTAATATCTTTTAGAATAAATTAGAAAATACAGTTTCATCGCTATGCAATAACAGTATTTGAGTGTTTCTGAATAATCCTTAAGTAAATTGCATTGTGTAAATTGCAGATGCCTAAAATGCTGCTCTTAATGTAGCAATATGAATGAGAATGCTCTATACGTGTAGCTTTAAGGAAGTTAATATAAAGTATTTTAAAACGCACATTAAGAAAATACACTATGTGTGCTTGAATCAAACGTTAAGAATCGCTTAACTCGGGCACACGATCTCTAGAAATAATTTTAGTAATAAGTCATAAGTGTGTCAAGATTAATGAGTATGAATGTGTTTTTATCCAAAGACTATATCATAAAAAAAAAGAAAGCAACGTCTATTGAAATCCGTATTACGTTCTGTGCTTCTACACATGCGAAAAACAAATCGATTTTATATATTTTTAAATAGTAATTATTTTGTAAGCTTCGGTACTAGAATAAAAAAATTAAAAACTGAATGCATACATAGTGAAATTACATACGTCCTTCGAAATATTATGTATCATGTGTTCTAATAAATTTCATTTTGATAAAGAAAAAGAAATGTATTTTTATAATTCATAGAATGTGCAGTACTCACCCAGGTATAAGGATGTTTCTTTCCCAGCGAAATCTGATTTCTTGCACGAACTCGTACCATAACTGCGCTAACGCTGACTCCCCTCCAAGGCTGTGCGTGCAGTGTGCAGCAACGATAGAGAGACGCCAAATTAAGCTATCCATGGGACACGTTTTCACACCTTTCCACTGATCTTCGTCCACATTGGATGTCAGATCACCATATGAAGCTTTCTGAAACATTAATCAATCGATTACATTAACTCTGCAACAGCTTTTCATATGTAAAAAAAAAAGTGTTACTTACAGAGTTTTCGTCTGCATCCGGGAAAAGAAAATAAAGTATCGACAATAATATTTCCTCCGATATTGGCCCGTCCACGTTTTTATTCTTTTTCGAAGCTGCTTTGCCAACGACCGTTGCAATTGTGGGGACTCTGGATTCCGTTAATATATTAAAAACCGAGCTCAATGATTGGTCTTCGTTTTGAGCATAGATTACGCCATCTCCGAGCAAGTCTGCCATCATTTTTTGACTGTTGCATATATGCAAGAATTCTGTTAAATATTCTCCGAGTAGACAAGCTGGCATGGGAGACATTTTTACTAGCACGGACCACTTGGGAGCTAACTGTGGTTCTAAATCTGTGAAACTTTCGCTATCGACTATAACGTTCTCCAACATTTCAGGCCATGTGGTAAACAAGTGAAGCTCTCTGAAATGAAAAATTTAGCCGTTCTACAAATTCGACGACCATGATTTTTTATCTTTTCATAGTAGAAGAATCTTACGCGATTGGATCGAATGTTGCTCCAAACGGAAGTTTTCCTAGTTCATCTACACCTACTGTTTCCCCCATCATAAAATCAAAGTCTGGAGGTTCTTGAGTCCACGTACTATTAGTCCAGTCTTTCAATAGATACGAAAACCTTACGGATACCATTATCGTATCAAGATTTACTCCAGATCCTTCGCCTACTTTCTGTTTAAATAAAGCAAGTAAACCTAAAAAATAATCCTTATCTGTAGAACGATTGCTGCATACACCATCGCTAACTATATAATCTTAATATAACTATTCAATTACTTCAAAACTTTTGATTCACAAAGTGTATTCATACCAGTGAGGTACTTGCAATGAGGAGGTATTCTTTTCAAATGTACCATGTCTAAGTGAATACAAATTCCTTTCCCAATACTAGTACCGAAATACATTTTCTGCCATGGTTCTTGTATTTGTACCAAAGTAGGTACATCGCTAAAAATATTAAACACATTTTACACTTAAGCAAACATTTGTGCCAAAGCATTTTGCTAATTACCAATTGGCATTAGTCGCAGCAATTGCAAGAGAGCTAAGCAAAATTCTAAGTTTAGTTTCATCCGTCACAGCTTCCTTTTTACAAGACTGTAAAACAAGAAACTCTCTACAACCGAAATAATGAGCTATCTGTAAATGATCTCCATCAATTCTGACAAAATCATTCGATACGTTCAGTGCATCCTTTTGACACTGTATTTGTTCATCCTCACTTTCTTCTAAAGGGCTATCTACATCATTGTCCTCCAATTTCAATTTATAATGCTTCAGTACAAATTCTGCATCTGTAATATAAAAAATATGCTGTTTGTATCTGCTTCTATGCTTCATAAAGTGAAAAAAGCATACGGTAATTATATTGACCATGTTTTATTTTGAAACCAACCAGCAAAATGAAGTTTCTCGATATTCTCTTCCCACTGACACGTAATAAAATCTCCAGATTTCAAAGGACAACCAATTTTTGTGTTGTGTAGCTTCCATTCGTGCATAATTTCTTCCAAACGTGCTATAAACACCTCCCATTCCGAAGCAGTCGTAAAATCATGGTGATAAAAGTCCTCGATTTCAACGTTGTTCATTTTTTTTTAAACGGCGAAACAATTTAAGACTATTTACTGACTAACACGGTCAGTTTGTTTAAGGTTAAATGTTTGACGTTTATTCTTTATCCACTGAGTCGAAGTTCATCGCGAAATCATAGAGTGCATCATATGCGTTGTGAAGCGATATTTTTGAATTTTTTTCTCAAAAATACGTAGGAATTCGGGGATATGTCTATTCACCAAAAATGATTGTAATCGACCCCCGCAACAGAAAATAATTTTTTTAGAACGATTCGAAATTTTTTAATTTTGTAGCAAAAATTCATCCACTTTTGGAATTTTTTTCTCGAAACTGGTTAGGATTTCGAGGGTATGTCTATTCACCAAAAATGATTGTAATCGACCTTTGTAACTGAGAATAATTTTTTTAGAACGATTCGAAATTTTTTAATTTTGTAGCAAAAATTCATCCACTTTTGGAATTTTTTTCTCGAAACTGGTTAGGAATTCGGGGGTATGTCTATTCAACAAAAATGATTGTAATTGACCTTTGTAATTGAAAATAATTTTTTCAGAACGATTTGAAACTTTTCAATTTCGTCGAAAAATTTCACACCTCGAATTTTTTTCTCGAAAGTGCGTAGGAATTCGGGGTTATGTCTATTCACCAAAAATGATTGTAATTAAGCCCCGTAAGTGAGAATAATTTTTTTGGAACGATTAGATTGATTTCTGCACTTGTATTCTGTCTATTTTTGTTGACAGAAAGTTGAGTAGTAATTGGGAATTGTTGAGGTGGTTAAGTTCGATTGTTTGCGTTCGATGTAGGTAGAGAATGCAACCACTCACCCCTGGAACTTCTCCCCCTAGTCGATTCTTTCATTTATTTTGTCGTAGGGATACATTGAGGCGAATAGTGACGCAGCGCAGCGTGACGCAGCACACGGTTTCGTAAGCTGTGTATAATAATTGCAGACCGTGCACCGCACATTGTCGCACGCTCACGTGACGCGCAGTGACTAACGCAGAAGCAGCGCGAGGTTTGGCGCGAAGACGCAGTTTGCTGCGCGCGACGCTCGTCGGCAGCGTTGCTTTCGTACACTTCGATAACAGAGTTTGTTTATTTCATTATGGAAAAATTAATAGAAATTGTCCAACGATATCCCATTCTGTACGATACGAATCATGCAGATTATTCGAAAATAAAGTTGAAGGAGGAAGTTTGGGGTTCGATCGCAGAAAAATTACATCTGACCAGTAAGTTTTTTTTTTATCTTTTATTATACCTGCAAATGATTTATGGCGATTAAACTTTACAGCACAAGCAGTTAAAGCTCAATGGAAGTCGCTTCGACATTGCCATCGAGACGCTCTTCGACGGCGTAAAACGAGGAGCGGGCAAACTGCAGGATATAAAAAATATTGGGCGTACGAAAGACACATGGAATATCTGTTACCATTCATGAACAGCAAATTAACGTCGTTGGAAACGGAAATATTCAGTAGCAACGAACAGAGTAATATCGAGATCCAGAAGACGAAGGGCGAGCAAGAAGATGAAACAGCGAACGAGGAGGAACAACCGGAAATAAAAGAGGAACTCATGATAGAGGACGAAGAAATGGTACCCCAAACTAGGAAAAGGAGGAAGATGAAGTCCAATGTAAAGCTACAACGATCTGTACACAAGAAAAGGGACGTAACTCGACAAGAAATAAGAGGAAAGAGACTAAAATTGGAAAAGGAACAGGCCAACGCGTTGTATCAGTTCTTTATCTCCATGTACAATTCTACTAGAATGCTACCGCGCCATTTGCAATTCAAAATTAAGAGAACCTTATTCGAAGCCGTATCCAACGCCGAAGAACAAACTTTTCGTAATTCCTATCTGGAGTCAGCTTTTAATAATGTTCCTGAAAACTTCTCCAGCTCGCAAAGTTCATCTTCCGCTTCTGAATTAATACCTATCGCTGACGATTGTTCGACCAATGTCCAAATCGCTCAGTCGTCATCGTTCGTTGAAATTCCAACAGAGTTTGTTAAATTGTAATGCGTTCGTACTATTATAATATTGTTATATCGATTAGACTTGATACGCTAAACTAGCACGAGAAGCCACGACTGAAAGTTTCGCGCGTATCAATTTTTTTTTTATGTTCTTTGGACAATTTTTAGCAAATAATAATAGTAAACTACTTAAAAAAATTTTGTGATATAATAATTTCTATTACTTGAAAGTCTCTAGTATTTTGTTGGCCTTTTAAACTTACATAATTTGCTCACACTTTCCAGAGACCGAGCTATTCAACAGATTTTTTGTACTCGAAGCTGACATCATGATTATTCAAGATTTGGAAAATGATTTCCGACAAATTATGACATCCATTATTTGTTTTTTGTACAGTCACGTAAGACTATTCCTACTCTTGCAAAAATTTAAAGATTACTACCTGTGTACTTAATTTTATTAGGACCTTCCGACAATGAGACACAATTGATTACGCGTTCTGGCTATCAGAAGGCTGTTGCGTTTCGATACTTGTACGTTATCAATTATCCGATAATAAAAATGATAATCTTGGTTTATCGAACTCCTGCCTACTTTTCAGATAATTATAATGGGCAATGATTATAGTCTAATAAACGACTCTGAGACAATCGTTCCTCTGCTTTTGTGTCATCTGCGTCGTCTGCTCGGTCGTCGATGGAAATTAAACGAAAGAAAGTTGTTTTCTAACGATTCAGGTCAGTAACAAAGGAACTGCATAAAGCGTCCATCTAGTGTTGTTTTTGTGTCTCAAAACTCCCACGAACTGGTAACAGGGAAAAAACAGCTCGAACTAGATACAATAAGTATTAGAAAAGCTCTGTCTCCAAAGTTACTCCAGTTACTATGGTAATTAATCAATTGGTGATAAGATTAAAGTGACACAACTAGTTCCACTAGCCTTTTTCGAGCCACGCAAAGGTCAGTAGACCTCGTGTTTCGACGAAGTCGCATCAAGACGACAATAACGATCGGAGACATGGACGTTTCAGAGTTCAAAAGCTATTACCTCGCCCGGATGTTCGCAACTAACTCTTTGACGGTCCCCTGCATCTCACCCCCTCTGTTAGAACACATACTCGCGGTCTGTACGTCGTTAAGGTGGGTTCATACTCGTAACGGTACAGAACTTTCGCTGTTTGGCACCTGAACCACGCGTTATCGAACCTTAATCGTGTACTTGGTACACGCTCGACTCTGAACACATTGCAGTGCAGTGCATTTGTTCGACTGTGCCATCCACTCTGCTTTAACGATGGTCGTTTGAGCTTTGAAATGAACAATAATGCTATCGTGATTTAGAATTCGCTGAAAACGTTGTAAATACTCGAATGAATTGTTTATAATACGATCAGAGAGTTCAAGGAATCAGAACGTTAAATTAATGTCACGGATAAATCACTTTTTCATTGGTTTTTCTGGTTATCTGTTATTCGAATAAAATTTTGTCGTATGCCTACCTAATTTGGTTTGCACTCAGGTACATATGTAACTTCTGAAACTAACACGTTCGATTTAGACGAACGACACGTTTGATTGATAGTGAGACTGTTCGTGACGTCTGAACGCACCTGTTGCGGTAAAATGAGTTTCTATGATACACAGTTTCGATGTTCACTCTTTCGATGCAACGAATTACAATTGCACAGCTGTAATTCAACGACAGTCTCGGCAATCAGACTTGGACGTATTTAAAACGATGTAATATAAAATATTATTGAGATAAGATGTAAAAATAGCTTCGAATTGAATTAAATTTTTTTTAAAAATAAGTAAATAAAATAAATAATAATAGTTACGACAATGTATCGAAGATTTAAAAGTTTGTAAATTTAATTTCCAACAAATTATGTTATTAACGTTTTTTTCTATGGAAGCAAGTATGATCGAGATACGACTAATTATAGTTCTTCTCGAATAGAGTTCACAAAATATTTGCATTATTATCATTATCGTTTAAAAGGTTTTCCCTGTCATAATTTGTTAGAAAATTGAAAATTAAAAATTTAAAAAGTCACTCTTGTTCAATCGCTCATACGATGTAGATACATATATTTACATGTATTATGATAAATAAAATATTTTTCCTGAAATATACTTCATTATAAAAAATATCACCTCGAAAAAATGGGTTTGTTATTCGATTAATATTTTTTACAGCGTCGAGAACTGGATGCACCTTTTCAGGCAATTTAACACGCGTTTATCCTCGAAAACTGTAATTCAGACGAAAATATATGCACACGCGGGCGGAACGATTACTAAACAATCAACCGAAGGCCGTCACGTAAACGAACGGTTTGCCAATACTGCATTGTCCTCGGTAACTTTGGAAAAATAGTTTCCGACACTTCGTAATCAGAACATTCCTTCGCGAATTACTCTAATTAGAATTCTACAGAAACTAATGTATTATATCTCCAGCCACAATGGCCGAATGTTGATCAAACCTAAGGTCTGACTATCTACAATCAGTAGAGTTTCAACAATTTCGATCCAATTTTTGACCACATTGTGCAAACTGACTAAAAACAGACTAAACGTCGACCTGAGACTACTAACATCCTCCATCTACTCTTTGAGAAGCGACATCATCCATTTCATTTTATTTCGATTCTGTGAAAAGTAATAAAAATAGTGAATTTTACTGGATTTCTTGCTTGTAACGATCTGAGTTTACCTGGAAACAAAATTCATTATATTTTTTTTTAATACATTCTTTCGATAAGCAACGCATCAAAATTTCGATAATTCTGCAGTTTAGTGAATTTTCCTAATTTTGAATATGTGGTGTTCGACCTTGGCGACACGTTTAAATGCCATTGAGATTTAACCTAGACCCAATATAGACCAGTGAAGTGTACTGAATCCTAAATGGTTACCGATCCAGAATTACCTCATGAGTTTCTACTTTATTTCAAGGCCACTATAGTATTTCTGTAAGCCTCATTGATTTCTTGCTCGAGCAGTTATCAATTTTTGACACTGTGCTTCTTTTTTAAAAGCAATTTACCATTCCAAAGCAGATTCTAAATCGTTGCTTGGCTGCCCAATCTGTTCAAACCGAAGAAAAGTAAATTCCTAAACGATTAATTACACGCCTGTAGAACTGCTAGTTAAAGCAAAAACACAGTCGAGAGATGAGTATACAGGGGGAAAAATAATACACCAATCGTTGTTAATAGACGATAACGAGGGGCGATTGTCGCACGAAACGACGAATAAAAAATAAATCGAGTTTGTTTGTGTGATCGACTCGGTTTAGTCGTTGTCCAGGTATGCAAAGAGACGAATGATTCGTCGGTCTCTGACCATGCAGATTATTCGGGGGATAATAGCGGCGAAATTATTATCAGGATGACTCGACCCATTCGTACAAACAAGCGACCTTCCGGAGGTGGACGAAGGGACCGGGAATGATTCAACGATCGTGATGGTGACCGAACTCCACCGAGTTTTAATGGTTGAACGGAGAAGCGCGCGCGGTAGGAGCATCCAACCTCGTCAATATCGTTTTGTCCGGTGAACCGTACGACACGAACAGTCTCGCTTCTTCTTCGTCCATCTATGCGGAGCTGGATCGCGCAGGGAAAGGAACAAAGTTAGTTCGACTGTACAGAAACAGTGCCTCTTCCCGTTTAAGCCCGTTATCGGTGTCGCGTTGGATTGTATGGCGGATATAGAGTGTCGCGAGGCACCGGGAACGCGTAAGTTCGAAAGACACTCGCGAGAAGAGGAGAAGCACGATCAACGGTACCGAAAGCAAAGTTTACGGTGGTTCGGTTCGCTTTGGACAATTAATCTTGCCTCGTTACCGTGTCTCACGAGCGCGACTAATTCCCGACGAGACGTTCGCGTTCGTTTTCTCTGCTCGTCGACGCGTACACGTTGTTTTTCTTCCTGCATCGTTCGAACATCCACGACCAACGAAATTTGGACTACGGTTCGAAACACCTCGAGGCTCTTGGGGATGCCTTATCAAGTAAATAACGTGAATTATATCTTCTCGCGTCTCTCATATGTGCTATTAATACCGTGGAAATGATAAAAGAATTCTGTGTTGCTTTAATTAGTCCGATCCGCAAGGAGAATCTGTCCTATTTGCATCGAAAAGGAAATTTCCACGATTTCCCCGTCGTGAAATATAACAGAGGGGAAGTAATGCTATCGGTCGAGATTCGACGCTCCACGCTCTTGCATCCCGCGATTTGTTCAACTATCGTATTCCCGGCGGTTAAAATATACAGAGTGTAAAAACAGCAACGTAGGCGATTCTACGCGAAAAAATGAAGCGAAAATGTAGAATGAAATATTCTCCTTCGAGGTTTCGTTTCGAAGAAAAACGACTTTGGAAGTTCAATGCTGCGCCGCGTGCCCCACAAATTTTCCACGTTGTTTACCTTCAAAACGAAGCCTCGAACGGAGAAATTTCGTTCCATATTTTCGATTTACTTTTTATCGATCACTTTGTATACCCGAAGAGAGTTACTGCTTTTCACTATTTCTAAACTGATTTGTTAGAATGCTTGTTTATTAGTTAGTATAGAATTTTAAACGAAATTGCACGCTGTCTCGTGTTCAAACGCGTTATATCGTAACCATAGGTAACACGTCTAATATGAGCGCGATACGTCACACACGTTGTTTGTAACGTTGCTTTTATCTAAACGGCTATCTAGAAGCTATTTGAGTTACGGATAGGCACAATCTCCTTGCTGATGATTCTCTATAAACGTTTATCTTTGAAAGCAATGACACGTATGACATTTTACTAGCAACATTTTTGGGTAATCGACTCTACGATTAAAGTTGATTCTTTGTTGATAAATTATGTTAATAAATAATATTAATTATACACATAAAAGCTATCATTCATTCGAATTAATTACCAATTCCAGGTGTCATGTAATTCGTAAAATAACTTCGTTTTATAGGACTCAAAAATCCTATTTAATAATAGAGCAAATTCAATTTTTAAGTGGATATTATAAATTGACTATAGCAATATTTTGAAATTGTATACAATAAAATTCTTATGAAATAATTTTATAGGACTCAAAAATCCTATTTAATAATACAGCAAATTCAATTTTTAAGTGGATATTATAGATTGACTATAGCAATATTTTGAAATGGTATACAATAAAATTCTTATGAAATAATTTTATAGGACTCAAATATCCTATTTAATAATAGAGCAAATTCAATTTTTAAGTGGATATTATAAATTGATTATAGCAATATCTTGAAATGGTACACAATAAAATTCTTATGAAATAATTTTATAGGATTCTTTATAGAACTCTACGATTAAAGTTGATTCTTTGTTGATAAATTACGTTAATAAATAATATTAATTATACACATAAAAGCCATCGTTCATTCGAATTGATTACCAATTTCAGGTGTCATTTAATTCGTAAAATAACTTCGTGTGATTTCGTGTCATTTTGTAGCTCCAACTGAAACAGAAAAAGACTTGAAATTGAGACAAATGGTGGTAATTTCAGAGAAAAATGTGGCCCACGCCGTGTGTGTGTAGCGTCTAGAGCAGAAATCACCGTGTGACTTTGCTGCAGGGCCATGGCTGTGAAAGAATGGTTCAGAAGACTGCAGCCGGTCCAGTTGTACCTGGTCCTCTTCTTCACCACCGCTTTCTTCATCGTCGAGATCGTTGCTAGTCACGTGACCCACTCTTTAACGTTGCTGCTCAACGCCTATCACATGCTGTGCAACGTAATCGCACTTGCTGGCTGCATCGCCTCGATCAAGGTAAGTTCTCCAATATTCTCGAACCGTAGTTCTATTTTCGTTCCTTGGATGTAAACACGTTATCTCCTTATCGGTGCAAAAATTAGATGAAAATAGATTCCAAGAGTGTCTGATGTGTACCTAACGCCAGGGACTAAAACAATACGTTATCCTCGAAAAATGACCACTTCGAGTACTCGTGTATCCATTTCTTGTAGTACAGTCATCGTCAAAGCGGTACCAGCTTCAGGAATAGCAGCAATTCCAGTTCGTTAGGGAATTCCGTAATTTGCATCAACAATGAAGATCGAGGTTCAGCGACATCCCTGTCGACGAAGACCAAGGTAATGATAAAAGTATTTGGTCTCGTTTGTGTTAATAGAAATTAATTGCTTCGCGATGCAGATGAGAATTGGTCTCACCGACCTTGACTCCATTTTAATTGTAAATAAAAGTGCTGAGAGGCTATCATTTTGCTTGTTTTTACTCTTCAGCAATCACGATCGGACAGAAGGATGAAGAACACTTTTGGATGGGCTAGGATAGATATTTTGACCATGCTCGTCTGCTGCGTTTTCCTCGCGTCGTTCTGTTTCTCGTTGTTGGTGGAGGCATTGCAGACTCTGGTGCACATAGATCACCTGGACGAAATGCATCATCCAATGCCTGTTCTAGCCATTGGTGCATCCGGGATCCTGCTCAATGCATTTTGTTACATACTGATAGGGGGATACACTTTCAATCAGGGCATCGTGCTGCACGTCACGATGAACGGAGACGTCATATATCGAAGGTAAACCATCACCCAAACCGGAACCAACGAACCCAATCGAGCTAACGAAATAACTGCTTATATATTATTTGTTTTCAGAAATGTCGATTCCCAGCAGATGACGGAAGGGGAACGACAGCTGTCTACGCAAACCAGACGTAGTCCACTGGGTATACCAAAGAGCCAAGGTTTTCGAGAAACATGTCGCGATGTCCTTGGCTGCGTGTTCGTGATGTTAGTGTCTACTTTAGTGTATTTCACTGACTCCAACGTAGCCAAATACATCGATCCCCTGTTTGCCTTTATCTCCTCCATTTCCCTGTTCGTTCTTAGCTATCCCTATAGTAAGTACTGACACGCAAATCGGATAAAGCAAACGTAATCGTCGAACTCTTAATGACGTTTCTCGAAATCCTTTTTGCCAGTGAAAGAATCCGGACTAATACTTCTTCAAACGATCCCGAATCATATAAACATCGACTCCCTTAAAAGGGAACTGCTGGAAGCGTTTCCAGGCATCGTGAACGTTCACGACTTGCATGTGTGGCAGCTGACGGGCCAAAAGACAATATCTACTGTACACATCATATTCTTGGATCCGACGGTGAGCTGTTTTTAAAATCAATTTTATGTAGAGTAAGTCTAGATAGTGAAAATGCTAAGGAACAAACATTTTGTGTTGCAGGTTTATGCCAGCATTACCAATCAAGTCACAGAATTTTTCATAGAAATGGGGATTACCCAAGTGACTATACAACCTGAATTTCACAAGGTACAACTTTCTATTTTGGTCGAAATAGGCATAAAACCTTCTAAATTTGTTGCATTTGTTATCTCGACAGATGAAACCGAATATGGAGAAGACTGGCTGCTTGATTCGCTGCCATGGGGAGCACTGCAGTTCCTCCCAATGTTGCTCCAAAGAAAAGTTCATGGAGGACTCGTGTACGGGGGTTTCTGTGCTGCAAATGCAATCTATAAGCAAGAAGCTCGAGGAAACAGAGATTCTTCCGGCCTCGTCTGTGGGGGATCCAAAAAACTCTACTGTTCGCGATAACGACGATAATTCTCAACCTGCGTGTCAGTCGAACGATGGACAAGTACAAACCGACGACGATAACGCTGTGAATAGTGTTTCCTATGCAGTAAACGTAGAAGTTAATGACCAGAAATGCACTACGAGCCAGAGTGACCTGGATCGCGACGTCTCATCTTGAACACAAAGATTTATTGTATTTTTAACGAGGAGGAACTAATTAACTAGAATTTTTTATACCCCGAATACCTAGACTTGTACCTGCAATCCTGAACGTAGCATAAATCTCTATAGCAACGACCTAATATCCTTTTCTATGTTTCGTTTAAAGACACGTGACATTCTGGTGGAAACAAAACGAAAAAAAAGCATATATTTTTTATATAATCAACCGTTTAGAAGTTATTCGAGGAAATAGATTTAAGTTTCACGTTCGAAAATGAGTGTAAGAGCGGTATGAATATGAAAATTCGTCGAGTATGTGTGTATCTTACCCTATTCTGGATAAAAATTTCTACGACATTACTCACGATTACAGGTAAACGCGAACGTATCGGCCTACTTTCGATCATCGAGTACCAACGACCTCAGCTCATTCACAGCTAGATAATGCTAATTTGAAAGTCATAGTTACGTCGACCTCTAGATATAGGACACTGTGAATTCAACAACCTGCTACTTTTATAGTAATAGAATAGACAACGAATTTTTCCTTGATTAATCTTGTTTTGGAGCTTAAAAAAATCAAGGAAAAATACATTTTTGCAAGTTTTACGCTGTTTTACGAGACTCGCTATATCCAGCTGCTTGCTATAGGGCGATTCGCTCGCTATTGTACTCGAAGTCTGCAGATGGGGACAAAACCTGTTCGAAGTGAATGAAAAGTTTGTGTGTTCGAAAGAAGGTCAAAGAAATATTTACGTTAAAACGTAAGTTCGTTAGCTTTGCATTAAAATTAGACGTCGTAGATACTTTAAATATTTACCTTTCAACTCTGGAGCATCTACTGTTTGCAAAAACACTGAACGAAGCTTTCGGTAAGAAAACTATTTCATTGATTAAACGGGACCAAAGATACCAAGAAGTAGCTCCTCCGGAATAAGAGTTGGGACACACAAATAGGCACTTGATCGTTTGCAATTGTGGGTGGTGCAGGCCATTTTACATTTATATTATATTTAAATATTTTATCGCGGGATTACATCGCGATTGTGTAAGAATTCCGCACCGTTCGAGATTGAATCTGATTCACTGTGCTGCGAATGCACGACGAAAGTTTCACGGTTACGTTCGAGCGTGGAGGAAATCAAGGAGAACGACGTTAAGATGACGTCGTCGCCGATAACTTGTAGTCAGAACGAAGAATCGCCGGGGTGGGGCCTCCGCTCGTGAATTCGCTGCCGTAAGCCGTTCGTTTCAGTTTGAAAGTGCGCGTGGATCGGTCGCGAGCGTTCCACACGAGCGCCTCTCGAATGTGGAATTCCACGTGAATAGAATCCACCTGCGTGTCAAAAATGTGAAAAAGGTGAGAACGGGCGGATCACGGATGACACAGAGAAAAATGGTGCGCCACGCGCGGTTGTTGTTCTCGGCCATCGTTGTTCTACTGCTACGTAAAGGTAACTACAGTTCGCCGTTTACCTGTTGCACCACGTACGGGTCTGTCCCTGCGTGTCACGATCACGTGGCCCCCATTGAGTCACGGCTGGGAACGAAGGAACAGGTTCTTTTTTTTTTATTCTGACGTGCGGATCGTCGGTAATTCCACGCGTCCTCATCGTTCCGCGACTCGATCGCGACTGGTTCGCCAAAAATGCTTTTCGCCGCGAGAAACGACGATCTTAACAACGACCTTAAATCTACCTGACGACGATTGTTATTCGACGTTGACGCGATTGATTCGATTTCTCGGTACACGCTATTGTTACCGTACCGTAATACTGTCGGATGCACACCGTAGAATTATGTAATTACAATTACTCGCACGTTAATTATTCGCCCTTACGATGACGCAATCGAAACGAGGATTTTTAATCAGCGCGAATCTGTACACGTTTTACGAAACTCTCTAGCAGTTGAAATAAACAGCAATTAGGCATCTCGAGAACGAGAAATACTAACTGTTTCTCAACGAGGTATCAAACTATATTTTAGAAATTTTGAGCGTGGAGAAAATGGTTATTTGTTTATGTCTGGTAAATTATAACGTATAAACTGTTACTCGTCTTCGTCAATTAGGTGGATATTAACAGTTGATCGTTTCACAGCGGTGCACCAATTACGAAACTCAACTGGGGCTTATCGTCTACGTTGTCTTAATAAAAATCGACATATTCATTAGTGTCGTTTGGTACGTCGACACGAAAAGATTACGTGTGCCGTATTTTGAATGAAATTATCGATTTTAAAAAGTGTTTTCGCTATCTCTTTATAATTTGCTGATTCAATTACATTTTTTTTCTTTTTGAGGATTAAAAAACTAGAACGTTGAACTCTGCTGAATATTCAAATTGTTTAACAATTATTTTCGATCTCGACGGTACCGAGTTTGATGATAATAAAAAGATTCCTCGAACGAGATTATTTTTTACAATCGTTCCAAAATGTCATTGATAACAGGACCGAGCACGGTAACCTTGACTCAATATACTATAATTATTCGTGCCACCGTTTAACGTCGTCCACTTGAAATTTCCCGCCTCTTCGTTTATGCAAATTTGCACGATACCCACGGATTTACGTTAAGGAATCATAATTCCTAGAATAAGAACTGGGACAATGCACTTGATCAGTGATTGCATGTTTATAGTCGAAATTCTAGAACACTGCACTTCCTCTATTTCTCTGATATAGTTTTTATTCAGATGTAAACACCAGCGTTTGTTTATCATTAGGAAGAAACTATCGTTCCGGTCGGTGAAGTCCCAGTTTCTCGAATTTTCTGTTTTTATATCGATAGTAATCTCTGTATCCGTCGGATAGGAACAAACTATCTCAATTCTAGCTAATCTACAAGGGACCATTCGTTTCTCTCCATCCTTTACCACATGGTAGGCTGGACAGTTCTTATCGCAACTTTTCAATATACCACACGTCCTACAGTAAATATCACATACACAAAATCTTTTCCCAACATGTGGTTCCTACTCCAGTGGGTGGACAGAGCTCATAAAAAACAATAAAAGCAGCTAATCTGTGCACAAACGTGTGCTTTACCCAACTTGGTTTCTGTTTTACAGCCATTTTTTCGTCTAGTAACTTTATAGTAACTTTAGTCAGTTTATAGTGCTCGAAATGACCATCTTCAACTTGGAATACTAATAATTTGGATAATAATTTCACTTATCAGCAATACTGTAACTTTTTAAGTTACACCAAAAAAACGAGTAGGCTGGCCATAAGTCCCTCAAGTTTAATTATGACTTCGTTACATTTATTTATAAAAAAAAAGAGTGTTTTCTTTATCTGTTATTCTCCAACGTTTCTACTGCAAGATTAAAAACAATACTTAAAATCTCTATTTATGTTTCAAGTATATGTCCGCCATTGTGGTTGCACTTGATACACAAAAGGGGGTTACAGCAGAAAGGAAACGCCGATCGAAAGTCGATCTCCGTGCAAAGAAAGTCAGGATAGATAGGTTTAAACATCTATTGTTATTGCAAGAAATAAAACAGAGTATTGCAAGGTGGAAAAGCGATGATATATTTAGAAAATGGTTTCCATATTTGGACCGTGTTGATAACTAGAAAGTAGCACAACAGCGTCGTTTATCGCGTGTGTTTTCAGCGTTGCTATGATGTTATGTGGTCGACTTTCACGTTCGAAAATGCAGTTAGATGATTTACTGCGCGGTGAAGCTTCGTTTCAAAGCGATATTACATAATTATTATATTTAATTACAATGGAGGTCAGAGCACCTCAAGAACACGAAGTAAAATATATGCAAATTTAAAAAAATAATTCTCCTTTCCTATGAGAAAAATTACAAAAGTACGACGAACATTGGTGTATGGATTATTAGTGATTGTTTAAAACGCAGAGTAATTCCAATAGCAATTTATAACAAAATGAATTGTAATTAATGAGTCCTCGTTAGCGCTTACTCCTAATTCATTTACTTGTTTCTCTCGTGAAACGAGTCCGTTGGCTGATAATGTGGCTGCATTATCAGAAGAGGAAAGTAAGGACTTCCTTCCTAGAGACGGTTGTATTTACGCAGAAACAAGCTCGTAGTGCGCGTGCGCTTTTTAAAATCGGATGGAACAACACATCCGCAGGACATTGCGGCTAAGAGGTCTGTTTTCTCTTCGAAAATTGTTCGTTCAGCAGATATTCTACGCTTTCGAACATAGAACAATGAAACAACTTTAAACTGCAGGCAGAGTTGGTCAAATTTCATGGTCGAACAGCCAAAAAAAAAAAAACTGTAGATTGTAGACTATTCGAGTAATAGAAATAGTGTTTAGGAAGGCATTTAAACGAGCAAAGCAACAAAACAACTGCTTCTAAAATAATTTTCAAATTTAAACGAAAGTTAGGCAATTTATCGAAATTATATATTAATAAGTATTACAAAGTAGATCTCTCCAATGTGGTTACCAACGACGCGTTAGAACTTTTCGAACTTTTTATCGAAAGTTCGAGTACTGTAGTGTTTTATTTCACCGTGCATCTATAATAACAGCCTTGGCCAGAATGTGTCTGGACAATGGACCAACGAGATTCCAATCATGTGACGATCCGTTGCTCACATTTAAAACAAATGCAATGTCGGTGATTTTAAACAAAATTGAGGTTTTTTGAGGCTTCTGCTAACACACAGACGCGTCTCCTGTATTTGCATGCCGCTTAAACAGAAAACGAAACAGAATTAGCTCCGGCGTTTAACCTGTTGACCCCTTGCACTGTGTATCGTGTGAGACTCGTGATATGATTCATAAGCCAATCGTAAGAAGCACGGTTTAAGGCTTCGTGGTACGTACAGTTGACTTCGCTATAATACGAGTTTTTATTTCGAAGATATTTTGACGAAAACGGGGTTTGGAATTTAGAAAAATTGAAGAATTCTTAAATATAAAATGTATCATTTTTCTGTCGCCAGACTCGACAGCTCTGAAGCCAACCATAGTAGCGGAGGCTGACGAGATTATAAAAGATGAAGGCGATTCGTTGGTCTTGGTGTGCACAGGCGACTCGGAGATCTTTTTCGTTTATCCCGCGGACACGGACGAGGTAAGCAGTCCAAGTTAAAGACGATCAAGATCTCCAAGACTTCCAAGGCTTCGAATAATTTTTCTCGCGATCTTATGAATCTCGACCAACGAGCAATTGCACCAACGAATTTCACGCTTGTCTCGACGACAGATCATCACCTCGACGCCTGATATAAACGATTACGAGGATGCTGGTAGCTACACTTACGAGTTTCGACGACGCCAGCTCGTCTACGGAGACACTGGCTGGTACGGTTGCGCCGATCATCCGTTTTCAGCTACCACGGAATCCTACGCTGACGCTGACATCAATTGGGTGTACGTTTACGTCCAGTGTAAGTAAACTTTCAGACGTAAACAAACGAAATTAAAAAGTTCTTCGAAAGCACGTGTAAACGCCTCAATTAACACTTTAATGGCCGCACGTATCACGCGAAGGTTCGTCACCGCTGATATTGTGGACCAAAGTGAGACACATTAAGATATATGTAACCTCAACAAACGTAACAAGTTGAATATAGCTCGTGAACTCACGTATACGTGACAGCGGCCGTCAAAGTGTTAATAAAGTTTGTGGAAGCAATTTAAAGGGCAGTTTGCTCCGATTAAATTACAACCACGGATCGTTTTGCAAATCAATGCACAGACGTGAGGGCCAGATACAGCAATTTAGTACTTAAGCTCCCAGCTATTATGTTTTAGCAAACACGAGCTTATTCGCGGAAGAGGCTACGTTCAGATCGCTGCGTGAAATTACTGGTGGAACAGTTATCATACCTTGCAGACCAACATCACCGAACCTGACCGTTCATCTTACGAACGATGAAACAGTAAGCTATCGCAAATCTGTAACTAATGTTCTTCTCTATGTTCATCTTGTCACTCGTGCATTTCATATACAAGCAACAAGAACAGCAGATAATTTTTATCTCTCGTGCTCTGATCATTTGCACCGCGTTGTGCAAAAAAATGAAACAAATATTATATCTTTGCAAGCTTCCGAGCACCTCAAAAATCGTTTAAACTCTTGTTTTCCCCCCTGAAGAGGAACAGAATCGTCCAATGGATGCTTGCAATAAATTAGCTACATCATTTCTATTTTCTTCGCGAGCAATACTTCCTATAGACCTTATTCAAATGAAATCTGTTGCACAGAGCGTCAACTTCAACGACAGACTGTCTTACGATCCGAGGATTGGATTTACGCTGACGAACCTAACGCTCAGAGACAGCGGTTACTTCAAATGCACGATAGAATCGGACAGTGCGAAGGACGAGGCCAATTATAATTTACTTGTTCTCCGTGAGTATGCTCGTCGATGTTGATTTCTCTTTCCCTCGGTAAGGTTGCAACACGTGTTGTGCAAACGCCGTTTCGGAATTTCGTTCGTAAACGACGAATGGTCATGTTTAATTTTAGGCAAGCAAACGTTGAACGAGCTAAAAATTTTGGACGACACTTTGCACCACGTGACACGAGGTCAAACTCTGTACGTGAACTGTACCATCGATGTCGACGCGGACATGCAGTATGTTTTCAATTGGTCGACACCTCTGCAAGTACTGATGCATTTACATATACATTTTATTTACACGTGTGCAAGGTTGGTAAATCAAACACGGAATTTCAGAGCAACAGGATCTCGATCCACGACTACAGTAAAATATACGGCGCGAACGTTCGACGAGCTACCAGCGAATTAGTCATAAGAAACGTGACCGACGAGGATGAAGGCACTTACGAATGTAGCATTAAGATATTCCAAGATGGCAGAAAGACGCAGAAGTATATCAAGGTGCACGGTCAGTACAAACGCGACTGTAGCGTAAATGACAGTGATTTTTCACCTTGAAATAAGCAGAAATTACAGAATACCTGGTAATCGAGTTCGCGTGAATTTCACTGAAACTCGATTTATCTTGATAATTCGGTTGCACGATAAGAACAGTTAATATTGATACGTAAGAAGTAAACGAACTGTGACATTATATCACCTATGCTAGAGCTTCTTCAACTCTTTTTTTACACGCGACTATTTTTTGGTATAAGGTGTATGATATTTCGAAATGATAGAAAATGTATTTTATGTTTTTTATAAATGTTTCAGAAAATTTTGCAACAAAAAGAAAACTATAACATATTTGACAGTTTTTAAACGGTTACAGCTTGGTATAAAAACATTTTAGATTAATAATAGATAGATTAATAGATCGAAGACTTTCTGTGCATATTTTTCTCGAGTTTTGCGCGCGAGGATGAGCAATGTTTATTTCTATATTGGATGTGAATTTTTAGATCCGGAGAACAAATTCATTAATCTAACGGCGCAGGATGCCGACCGCCATTATCAACGCCGATACGGTAACGAAGTACAATGGGTCGTATACGTGCACGCTTATCCTCAACCCCATCTAAAATGGTAAATATATACACACAGTTAGTTCTTCTAAAACAGAATTTCCTCTCGATCATCTACGATCTACGAACACACTTCTGATTTCAGAAGATAGTTACTCAGTTTGCAGTTAATTAGTTTGTCAGTTAGTTAGTTAGTTTGCAGTTAGTTAGATAGTTAGTTAGTTAGTTAGTTAGATAGTTCGTTAGTTAGTTAGTTTGTCTGTTATTTAGTTAGTATGTCAGTTAGTTAGTTAGTTTGCTGTTAGTTAGTCAGTTTGTTAGGTAGTTAGTTGGTTTATTAGATAGTCAGTTATTTAGTTAGTTAGTCTGTCAGTTTTTTAGCTAGATTGTAATTAGTTAGTTAGTTAGTTTGCAGTTAGTTAGATAGTTAGTTAGTTAGTTAGTTAGTTAGTTAGATAGTTCGTTAGTTAGTTAGTTAGTTTGCAGTTAGTTAGATAGTTAGTTAGTTAGTTAGTTTGTCTGCTATTTAGTTAGTATGTCAGTTAGTTAGTTTGCTGTTAGTTAGTTAGTTTGTTAGTTAGTTAGTTGGTTTATTAGATAGTCAGTTATTTAGTTAGTTAGTTTGTCAGTTTTTTAGCTAGATTGTAATTAGTTAGTTAGTTAGTTTGCAGTTAGTTAGATAGTTAGTTAGTTAGTTAGTTAGATAGTTCGTTAGTTAGTTAGTTTGTCTGTTATTTAGTTAGTATGTCAGTTAGTTAGTTAGTTTGCCGTTAGTTAGTCAGTTTGTTAGGTAGTTAGTTGGTTTATTAGATAGTCAGTTATTTAGTTAGTTAGTCTGTCAGTTTTTTAGCTAGATTGTAATCAGTTAGTTAGTTAGTTTGCAGTTAGTTAGATAGTTAGTTAGTTAGTTAGTTAGACAGTTCGTTAGTTAGTTAGTTCATCTGTTATTTAGTTAGTATGTCAGTTAGTTAGTTAGTTTGCAGTTAGTCAGATAGTTAGTTAGTTAGTTAGTTAGTTTATTAGATAGTTATTTAGTTAGTTAGTTTGTCAGTTCGTTAGCTAGATTGTAATTAGTCAGTTTGTTTGAAGATTTCAATCTCTGATGGACCATTCCGTGACGTTATTGTTTTGCAGGTTGAATCCAAAGGGGGAGGAAATTGTGGGGAACTGGATGGGGCCCGAGAAAGCAAAGTACGCGATCAATATGACGCCCACCTCGACGATCCTAAGGATCAATCGTTTGGACGTGAACGACATGGGAGTATATTCCATCCAGGCTAGCAATTCCGACAGAATCGAGACGCTGAACTTCACACTGGACGTGATAGGTTCATAATCTTCAACGCGTTCTTTCGTCTGCCTGACACGATCGAATTTCTGACCTCGAAACATTCTTTCCAGCCAAACCGATACCATTTTTGATTGTTGGAAACTCCTACTATATGCCTAATCAACTGGTGCACATGAGGTGCAACGTGGCGGCGTTCCCGGAACCGAACATCACGTGGAGTTACTTGCAGTGCCCTTTCTATCCCTCCTCTAAAAATGCGTTCACCATTCCCATAACGGTACGTAACGTCCATTTCGATTTTAGGGGTGGAAACCTAAAATAAAGCGTTTTTTCGCGATTTTTTGTTTGTATGGAAAAGTAAGAGAATAATAATATTCAAGAATAAAATAAAAATAGTGCCAAATGACGTCACTGGAGCCATTCTCGCGAGGCATTCTTGGAGCCATTCTGACGAAACAGTGTAACTGACCTAAAATATTTGGAAAACAATCAAAAATTTTCTCTTAATCTACATGAGTATAGCTAGAGAACAGGTTATTTTTAAAATATTCACTTTTGTGTGATTGGCGAGCATTTGAAGTAACAAAATATGGGGCATTCATTAGTCAATAAATAATGTTCAAATCAACTTATCGAAAATCCCTTTTTCCCCATTATTATGGAAGGTTCAAAGCATCTTCAAATCGATTTTTTGATAATTCTACAGTGATGTAACCCCTCAATATGAAAAATGAGTAACAATTATTACGTGTAACGAATGTTTTCTTAGAACACGATAGAGCAAGGAATGACAACGTCGTTTTACTCGAGAGCAGAAATGACCATAGCAATGTCCGGCAAACTAACGTGCACGGCTTGCAACATCGTCGGATGCGATTCTGCGACCGAAAACATACTTGTATCCGGTAAGAAAAAGACACGAGACTTTGTTTTCGATATTCTATTCCAAAACTGTCTTTAGACGGGAATGGAGGATTCAGCATAATGGAACCAAAGGAGCCAGTGTCGGAGGGTGACGATTTCACGTTAGTTTGCGCTTCCTCCATTTACAATTACACGAACTTCTTCGAATGGAGCAACGAAGATGGCACTCCTATTCTAGAAAACAGTAACTATCTTACCGATCTGTTTAAATCCGTATCGAAAAATATACTTCCTTGATCGCTTATTTTTTTGAATTGTTAGATAGACTGAGGATCGTTCCGAGCAATACTCAGTTCACTTATCGATCGACTCTGACGATAAAGAACGTGAAGAAAGAGGACTCGAAATACTATGTTTGTACCGGAAAAACCACCGACAATGTTATGGAAAGTATGGAGTATAATTTGCAAGTGCAAGGTAACTCTTTTTAAAACATCGCTAAATGAATTCCTTTCTTCCCCCGAAAATATTTAATTACGTATTCATTGTAAAGATGCACTGGCACCTTCTTTCAATAATACTAACATGAAAGACGACGAAGTGTCGATCGATCTGAATACTCAGGGTGACAAAACACTGATTCTCAAATGTTTCGCGAACGGCATGCCTAAACCGAAGATCAGTTGGTTCAAGGTAAATAATTCATAATAAGTACTGATACATAAATTATACCTATATAAAATATTTTTAACAGGACAAAACAAAATTAGAGAACAGCACTCAATATCAGTTTCTCTATGGCTATCAAGAATTTCACATAAAATATCTCCTGGAAAAAGACAGTGGAACCTATTCGTGTCGCATAGAAAACCGTATAGGAAAATTGGAAGCCCGTCGACTAATAACAATAAAAGGCAATTATATTTAATTAACGTTATTCTAGGCTTCTGATCAATACGATAATAATTCTCTGATTTTACGTTCGCAGGGAGAGGGCTTCCGATAGGACTGATCATATTAATCGTCATCTTGGTTCTCATTGTTATAGTTTTAACGATCTACTTTTCGATCAAAGTCCGTCGCGAGAAGGTGAATTTTAATTTCCATGGCACCGTTGGGTTTCAAATAAAAACAATACATTTTGACAAATGCTTCAGATCATGAGGAAGGAACTAATGGAAGCGGGATTGATGCACTTCGTGGAAGGAGCTGTTGAGTGTTTGAATCCGGAATCGACCGTGGACAATCAAGCAGAGCTGCTTCCTTACGATAAGAAATGGGAGTTCCCTAGAGAAAAACTGAAATTAGGTAAAGCTATTTACATTTTTATCTTTCACTGCTGTGTTAGAAATATTTAAAGGACAACTCTACTCAGTGTTGGTTCTGGGGTAGGTGTTAAGAGGTCAAGCTTAATCCTCTTACCAGAAGGTATGTTAGATCCTTACTTTCCCCACTCTGTGGCCAGATCCTCAAGTTACAGAGTTCCTATTCTTTAACACTAGAAAGACTGAAACTTAGTATATACCTATATTGCCCAAAAGCAGTCAAAATGACTGCATCGTGAAAGAATAACTAATGTGTAAAGAAATTTGTTTAATATTAATTTTTAATATTATGTTATAATATTATGAATTTAGGGCGCAGAAATAAAATAAACAACTTGTTAGAACAAGTATCACTGCATAAAGATTCGAATAACAAGTACTACTTTAGCTTATTGAGAAACTGTAATTTATCAATAGGTCTGGATTAGGTCTGGGTTAGGTCTGGGTTAGATCTGGATTAGATCTGAGTTAGATCTGAGTTAGATCTGAGTTAGGTCTGGGTTAGATCTGAATTAGATCTGGGTTAGGTTTGGATTAGATCTGAATTAGATCTGGGTTAGGTCTGGATTAGATCTGGGTTAGATCTGGGTTAGGTCTGGATTAGATCTGGGTTAGGTCTGGGTTAGGTCTGGGTTATGTCTCGGTTAGGTCTGGGTTAGGTCTGGGTTAGGTCTGGGTTATGTCTCGGTTAGGTCTGGGTTAGGTCTGGATTAGATCTGGGTTAGGTCTGGGTTAGGTAAGCCCAAATCGACAATTTATCATGTACTTGTATGTTATCATGTGTTGGTAATCGAAAAAAAATGAAAACTGTTATTTCAATACAGAGTCGAACTGGTCATATAAGAAATTTACTCAATTCAATAATAAGAGTGATTTGATTATTTAAAATTTCCCAAGCAGTCAAAATGACTGCTTTTTTGGGCAATATAGGTATAACACATATATACCGGAAATGAAGGAGAGGAGAGGTAACTACAATTATTAATAAACGCATTTATATGTTGTACAAAAAGTCACAAAATTCTAAGAAATTGTGTCATTATATACATAATTGTTTTTCTAATTGAAATTAAAAAGCAGTCAAAATGACTTCCTTGGGCAATCTAGTGTTAAAGCAAGACAACGTCAGGTCACTTGCCCTTTTCTAACATACCCTTCCTTTCAACAAGCAATCCTATAAGCCTGACTTCGAGTCACCAGCCATCGACAGCCACCTGGACTGTATCCTTTGCAACCATACCTCTTGGTCCCCACGAAGACTAAGTCCCTACCATAAACCATCGACCAAATTGCCCTCGACGTCCCTAAAAAACAAGCCGTCGCTAACTTTCGTAACATTCTTTCAGGGAAAAAACTGGGAAGCGGCGCGTTCGGTGTCGTCATGAAAGCGGAAGCTCAAGGTATCTGCGAAGACGAGGCAGTTACCACCGTGGCAGTGAAAATGGTACGTCGCACGACCGACCCCACGTACGTACGTGCACTTTCCAGCGAATTAAAGATCATGGTGCACCTTGGTAAACACCTGAACGTCGTCAATCTGCTAGGAGCTTGCACGAAGAACATTTCCAAACGTACGTGTTCCAGACACACAATCGACACATCGTTAACGATACTCATTACGTTCCGTTCCAACAGGTGAATTGTTGGTAATCGTCGAATACTGCCGATTTGGAAATTTGCACAATTATCTACTACGTCACAGGGATGACTTTATTAATCAGATCGATCCAACGACGGAGATGTTCGACCCTAGTATCGGCGTAGATCTTCTCACCAGGTCTACCAGGGTCGGCAGTAACAACAGGTTTGCTTTTACGTTTCGTTTCCTTGTAGTTTTCGTTATTCGTTAATAACATTATGATCGAATAATGAGTAGAAGATAATTGACTTGCACGTTCTGTGATAACAACATCGTTGAGTATGTTTTAATTTTGTAACGAGAATGAAATGTTGTGATCTGACGTGTTTGCTTCGACGTTAAGTTTACTAATTGTTGATCCAGACTAAGACAGCACTGTATGCTTATGCATTTTGTTGATAATAAAATACTTATACGGTGCATGGAGGGGCTGCGGTGTTAACGACAGTTTTCTGTTTTCTTTTCTCCGGCACGATAGGATAAAATATGCGGCATTGTCATTTTCTCCCAGCCTTAGCACAAACTCTGGCACCGATTCGGTGCAATATCAAGGCACTGCTATGGACTCTCAAGGTGCGAGCGTGTCACCGGACAGCTGTGTCCTCAGCAACGGTTCCTCCCAACCGGGCTGGAGGTCCAACTATCGCGGCGACTACAAGGATTACAACTTGAAACCAATTTGCACCCAGGATTTACTATCCTGGGCCTTCCAAGTAGCGCGCGGAATGGAGTACCTCAGCCACAGAAAGGTACGTTACGTTCGCGGCACTTCTTTTCAATCTACAAATCGCTTACATTGCTCCACAAAGCTTGCAAGAACATTTAAACGAATTCGACGAATGTAATAACGTTAATTGATAATTACACGGCGTTTTGGCTGTTATCACAGGTATTACACGGCGACTTGGCCGCAAGGAACATCTTGCTGGCTGAAAACAACGTGGTGAAGATTTGCGACTTCGGTTTGGCGAAAACCATGTACAAGGATGACAATTATAAAAAGAAAGGCGACGGTCCGTTACCGATCAAGTGGATGGCCATCGAATCGATCAGGGATCGGATTTTCTCGACGCAGTCGGACATTTGGTCCTTTGGCATAGTTTTGTGGGAGTTTTTCACGCTAGCTGAGACACCGTATCCGGGTATGGAGGCAGAGAAACAGTACCAAAAGCTGATCGAAGGTTACAGGATGGAACAACCGAAATACGCCACGGCTGAAGTGTACGTTCAATTTACATATACCATGTAGAGTAATTTTTAGAACAGTATTCCCTTGCAAGTTGTCACAGAACAACCTAAGAGGATGGTAGGTGAAACTAAGGCCTCTTATAAGATATACTCGAGATAAGAATTGAAGAACCATTAATGGGAATAACTGTGACAACTTGACAGTTAGAAATATTGACAACCTGACAGGGAATACTGTACAACCGAGTAGAGAGCGATTCAACGTTCAAAAACACATCGAAATTGTACAACGTGTATCTATTATTACAGATACGACATAATGTTGCAATGCTGGAAAGCCAAGCCTACTCTACGTCCAAGTTTCACGGAATTAGTTCAGAGCATAGGTGACTTGCTGGAGGACAGCGTGAAAGCGGTACGTTTGTTGAAATTCGATTATACTATACCTACATATGAAGTGATAAAACCTAGAAACTCTAGAGTCCCCATTATCATTTTTGTCTCACTCACATTACCAACATGTTATAAATTGAACACAAGCGGAAGTGAGACAGAAAAATATAATTACAGTCACATTTCCGGCCTCACATTAGATTTTCGGTAAAAGAATTTTTTTCTCGAATGTGCGTAGGATTTCGGGGATGTATCTGTTCACAAAAAGTGATTGTAATCCACCCCCGCAACCGAAAATAATTTTTTCAGAACGATTTGAAATTTTTTTTTTCGTCGCAAAATTTCGAGCATTTTCCTGAATTTTTTTCTCGAAACTGCGTAGGATTTCGGGGGTATGTCTATTCACCAAAAATGATTGTACCTGACCCCTGCAACCAAAAATAATTTTTCTAGAATGATTGGAAACTTTTCAATTTCACCGAAATATTTAGGCACCTATTCCCTGTCGATTTTTCTTGAAAATTCATTTCTGATTTTTAGTAATTTTGTTTGACACCCTACAGCAAAGTAGTCTAATACTTTTCTGTAGGTACCCATGAGCTCTACTTTAGAAAAAAGTTTCATTGTAATATGTTCACTATCGTAGGAATTATGACTGTTTGAAAATTGGACCATTTTTCTGAAGTTTTTTTCAATTTAAGGGATCAAGGAACAACTTTTTCAATATTTTTATAATTTCTACATATTCTTCACTAAAATACGCATCGTTTGCATTTTTGAAAATGAAAATCGTCCAATCCGTTCAGGAGTTATGATGTTTTAAAGATATGCATGAAAATTCGGTGAATCATTATCAAGCCACAGATTATATTTTCGGTAAGGAATTTTTTTCTCGAAAATGCGTAGGAATTCGAGGGTATACCTAACCAACAAAAATGATTGTAATTCCTCCCTGCGATCGAAAATAATTTTTTTAGAACGATTTGAAAATTTTTAATTTCGCCGAAAAATTTCACACCTTCTCGAATTTTTTTCTCGAAAATGCGTGGGAATTCGAGGGTATTCCTAACCAAAAAAAATGATTGAAATTCCTCCCTGCGATCGAAAACAATTTTTTCAGAACGATTTGAAATTTTTTAATTTTGTCGCAATTTCACACATTCTCGAATTTTTTTCTCGAAAATGCGTAGGAATTCGAGGGTATGCCTAATCAACAAAAATGATCATAATTGCTCCCTGCGATCGTTAATAATTTTTTTAGAACGATTTGAAAATTTTTAATTTCGCCGAAAAATTTCAGCATCCCCTTGTCGATTTTTCTCAAAAATTCGTTTTTAATGAGCACAACCACGGGTAATGTAGTATACAATGTGCGAGCTTAACGTAAAATTTTCATTCGATTCCAGCATTACATCAGTTTGAACGCTCCCTACATGGACATGAACACAATGATACTAGAGAGCGGTAAAAACGACTATTTGACGATGTTGTCCGCTCCGGATCACACTCTGTTCGTTTCACCGAGTCCCAAATACACGAACTCGCCCGTACCCGAGAATCCAACGGACTCCACGTACCTGTGCATGAGCCCAACTAGCCAGCGAGACGAGTCCGGTATATTCAGCCCGATGCTGCAACCCGGACGCAGCCATTTCGAATTCCCATCGCCTACATCCGACTCTGAGGACGCGGTGGAGATGTCACCGATGCTGAAAAAGGATCAGGACGAGGACCCGTACTTGAAACCGATAAACGTGCACGAACGAAGGGCAGAGTTCGCCAGGAGCAGGCAAACGACGAAGAATCAAACGGTGGATCCACCGATGGACCGTGATTCCGGCTACTGCAACACCCCGCGGAATCTCCAGCTGATAGATCTGAACGAGAAGAGTAACAAAGACCCGGAAAGAACGGAGGGCGACGACAAGGTGGACTCGGTGACAAAGGATTACGCGCCGTCCATTATCAGCACGCAGGACAATTACGTGAACATGCCCAAGCAGAAAGTCGATTTGAGGAAAGATATGCCCGAAGGATTCAGCAATCCCAGTTACGCGATGATGAGTACTCGCGACACGGATCAGACGAGGGTTTGATACATCAGTGCCACATAACAATTTCAAACACTTTTTTTTTATACGAGAAGATAGATTCTTCGTCACGATTGTGCGTGTACGTATGGATATCGATGATGCGAATGGAGTAAATCAGAGACTGATATTGCGAATGCTATTATCGAGAGATAGTGTCTCTTTGCGTCTCTCTGTTTTGCTATTATCGTGTTTCAGTATTTTCGCGTGAAACTACGCTGTCTGCGTTTGTGTGATTGCGGGAGAAAATGATTTATGCGTGTCAGAGGCAGATAAAACTCTTGTTTCAAAATTCATTCGAATAGTTGAATATTTGTAACTTCTTGTAATTGAGATTTTTGTTTTTCTTTTACGAGCAAAAGAGAAATAATAACTTTTGGTAGTTTTGTTCGACTAAGAATTTTACCCGTCTCTGTTATACGTTTCCTTCGTACATGTTGCTTATTTCCAGTGTGCCATGACGTAGTATGCGTAAATTATGCATAGTTCTTGTAGAGAAGCTCAGGAGTATACAATTATCGAGAATATTTAGGAAAAAAAAGGAATATGAGCAAAGTTTCGTAAGCAACATGTACCCGTGAAAGTCGGAATTTATTTTGAAAATAGACTAAAAAAATTGCCTTAATGTTACGCGTACATTTAAAAAATAGTTTATACGTTACATCGTAATCGGAAAGTGCCTGAAAAGTTCTGGCAATTTAACGAAATATAAATTTTAATCGGCAGATCTTCTTACTAGAAATTTAGGATGTGTAATATTGATGCTACATCGATAAAATGAAGAATATATCGCGCTATGCTTATTAATACTATTTCACGTACGTCTAAGGAATCGTATCGATAACTGACCAAATGTACAAAACTTATCGAGACAATATGAAAATGGAGGAGCGAACGTAACAATGGAATAAAGTCCAATTGCTTTTTAAACGATGTACTTACTAATTGAGAGAGAAAGCTCAGCGAATGAGAACGAAGCCCGAATTTAATTACTTCAGCTATTCTCGAGAAGTCCGCAGAAAACTATGTAACGTTCTAACTGTAAATTTCGTATAATTTACATAAATATAAGGCGCTTGTCGGTACTTAATACTCAATGTATTACCAGAAAATCACAGGGTTTAGTGTTACGAACCCGAAATAATGCGAATTTACGAGAAATTAATCAACGTACTGCAACCAAAGACATGAAATATTTGTATTCGATGTACGAAAGATTTTTATAACAAAATGTGTCTATTAAATTAATTTACAATCTCGTGGAAATAAAATTTTTATCTACAAACGTGTATTTGTAGAACACGATTTCTATTATTTATTTAACATTTCAGCGAGGAGTTCTATTCACACCCCCACATCGTTAACGATTCTAATCGCATAGGGGACATCGTGTATCGTCACATTACTGCGAATGCGTCGACCACGTGTGCTTATACCGTGAACTAAATTTTCCTTATACTTCAACCACCTGAAAACCATAAAATCATGCAAAAAAAAAATCGAACTCTTAAAATGAATAGAAACTTTTTTGCTAAACGATAAGAGACCGCTCAAGCTACACAAGAATGTAGTTTAAATATTTTTACATTTCCACTTTTAATTGTTTTTTATATTATACTTACCTGCGGTTGTTAACGAATTCTTTAAACAGTTGTTCCTTCGTGGGATACTTCGAGTCCATGAAGAGTTTCACGCGTTCCCAAACATTGGCTCGATTATGTTCGTTCAAGAAGTATCGGGGAACTAAAAAGCACTGTACGTGCGTTTTAGATGTTATTCTTCGGTTCTGCATGTTTTCTCCTAAATTGGAAGATCGTGATCAGTCGAAGGTTTTACTAAAATTAATAATTTAATCGTGTTACCTAATCCAAAACACGCGCCTCTGTTAAACGTGCAAATTTGCATGAATATCGTTCGAACGTTGTCCGGATAACATTGTTGAGATATAGACGATGGTTCTTTCATTAGCATCTCTGCCACGTCCGTGATTTTGTGCCACTCGTTTATCTTTTTATTCGAATGAATAAAATTAATGAATATTAAATGAATATTAATGAATATTAATGAATATTAAAATATTAGGTTGTTGTTTACGTTGTGAACGTTTGAAAATCAGTTGGTGACTACTAATGCAATTTTTGTGAGGACAATTACGAAAAATACGATCGAATTAAGGGCACAACAATTTATACGTTTCATACTCACTACATCTAGCAGTGTGGTTGTAATAATGCTAGCACGATCAAAGTCCACTTGTTGTTTGGTTGATTTCGACGACATTAAAAGATGGCTGTAGTCTATGGACTCTTGGTCGCCATCATTTCCATCGATATCTCTTGCCTTTGAAAATGATTTCGTTTTTATAAATAACAAAAGATGAAAGAAAGTTAAAAATCGTAACTTAAGTACTGTCATTGTAACTTAATAGAATAATAATAATTAATAATTAATACAACTGTTACTTAACACACCAATCGATGTAGAATTATAGCATAAGCTGATCGAGAGAGAAATTTCTACCATTACTCTTTACCTAAATGGTAAAGATTTTCTCAATTTTTTTTTTAATTATAATACAAACCTGTACTCTGGTAGTGTCATGCTTTGATTCCAGTTTCTTCAGTTTTCTTTCAGTTACCTTTCTTGATGGTTGTTTTGCTTCCATTTTGGCAACAGGATCTTTAGGATCATATAATTCATAGTGTACTTTGTTATTGGAGATTTCTTCCCGAACAAGCATGTGTTCTATCAGATGGCATTCACCATCCATAAGAAAATGCACATAGTTCACCATTCCTTTGCCATCACCTAACAAGACCTTAAATAATTATTTCTTTATTCGATCTACGTTTTATTTTTTTAATAATATTATATAAAATTTGTTCATGCATATAGTCAGAAAGTAATACAATATATGAAAAGTTTAATTAAAAAAACAAATTAAAAGGAATACTTATACTGTTAGTCTTTGTATCTTATTATTTAATTATGTCGAGTAGTGTAATATGATATCTGACAATTACAAGTGTCAACATGGTTGTACTGTAAATTTATAAAACGATTTATTTATTTAGTAATATTATTTGTATTTTCTATATGTTTAATAATTTTAAGTCCTAATATTTTTAGAATTATATTAGGATTAATTTCTTAATAATTAATGTTGTACAGAGTATGTACCTCGTCAGGTTGAAAGTCCTTCATCCTGCTGAGAATACAACACTCTCGTATAGCTTCTGCGTCCCAAGACTTGAAGTAATTAAAATGAACCAATGCATCTTGCAGTACATCCCATTCTTTCGTCAAGTGATCGCGTAAAGTATCGTCGAAACTATCGCGAGAAATGAGAAGACAATCCACGGTACCTATAAGAAAGACAAAACGAAAGAAGAGTATACAGATATCACTTTAACTTGAAAACAGTATAAAATAAACCACTGTAGGGGGGCACGAGGCTGGAATGGGACTTATTGGCAATCAATGAGATAAAAAACCCAAATGGAACCGATATTCTCCTATATTTGGAAAATTTCGATGAAGTTAGTTGGGCCCCCTCTGGTCAAATGCACTCACCTCCACGTGGGGCCCCTGGGACCCTGAACTTTTGTAAGCGTTTAAAAAACAGTTAAATAGTACAAACTTTTTGAAACCGTAGTCGCAGTTCTTGGTATCGCGTGTAGCAGTGCAATTTCACCGAAAATATCTCCCGCAGTCAAAATGCCCATGTCGATTTCTTTCTGCTCGCCTGATCACGAATAAACAATTTAATTATATTTGCAATATTAGTAAAAATTATTCCACGTACCAGTCCAGCGATCAGCGACTATCCTGGATACACCGATCTCGCCTTGTATAATAAAATACAAATTATCTGCTTCCCGATTCTGTCGTACGATCACACGATCTGGTCTCAAGTATTGGTAGATGCATGCTCCCGCTAGAGATCTTCGTAAATGATCCGGATAGTTTCGAAAGGCACGAAATTTATTGAACAACTCGAAAATGTGTGTTTTCTCCGTCGATGTTCTGCAGTCTGGTTCCATCAACAGCACGGAACGATCCTAAAATAGAAAATATTGTTAGGGGGACTTTTCTGAGTAATCAGAATACTTCCTAGTCGATAATCCATTAACTTGTAAACCTCTAAAGTAAGTTTCTTTTTCTCGACTTTCTTCTCTTGCGCCAATCGAATGTTAATCGCAACGTCGTCGACGATTTCGTCGATCGCTGGCTCTTCCGTTAGCCATTCGATGTATTCCAAAACGAGTCTGACCGCAGCTCGGAAAAGGTAGATTCCTTTCAGTCTGGTACGCTATTTATTTATAGTAATTAATATTAGAGAGGCGAAAAATGCGTTAATTCGTACGAAAAGTTCGTCCTCAGCGCGCCATTTTTGGTGCATTTCAAAGTAATTGTATGAGTGAACGCAGTGCGTAAAAATGGTTCAAAAAATTCGAAATGAGGATGAGAGGCTTGAAAATAAATCGCGAGAAGAGTAGCAGTATTAGTAATAGTGATTAGCGAGATGCTAAACTCAAGAACAACGTGTACAATGGCCGCCACAAGGTTTCGCCAAACATGTTTTCAACAGGATTCGAACCAACGCCTCGCCAGCCACGCTACTACACGATTATGTGCCTAACAATTGATTCCACAACAGAAATTTATATTTCAATTTTTTAATTTTGTATAACCTTACATTCCGAAGGCGGTGAGGAAATTAAATCACCGAAAACGTTTTATAAATCGAATTTTGCTCGAGAAGACTTATGCCTTTCCTTTGATCGCAGAAATTTTACTTACTTTAACGTGAAGTAACGATTTCCTCGATAATATGTGCATGAACGACTCTCGTAGCGACATTCTTCTACCGTATTTCTCCATTTTCGTTTAATTGATCGTAAGTTGTAAATGTGTTAATGTTAATTAAACGCGTATGAAGTTACTTCACGATTTCATGGTAAAAAATTAACTTGTGATATCTATTGGCTAGAAACGTTTCGAGTTAGCATTTTCCCAGAATCTGGACATTGTTTTATCGATAAAGCAATGGAGGACTGAGCATAGGTGGGTTTGGTGTATAGTGAAATTCGTTTCAAACAGAACACTTAATTTGTATATTAAAATTATACTGAAGATCGATTATTGCCTCTATAATTGAAATAACACCGCAGTGGCCTCAAACGATCGACCAACTGTAATCCGATTACAAATAAGATCGTAATTTAGAGGCTACATTTATCTAGCTCCTAAAATGCTTGAATCATAGCTGAATGTTTGCATAGTTGATAAAAAAGGAAGATTATAGTCTTAACAAGAACGTAGAATATTGTTGAGCTGGAAAGAAACGATAATTGCGTACTTATTCTTTATTTATTGTAAATATAGCAGACTACATTTATAGTGCTATATGCTACACATATTGACGGAAATTAAAAATATTTCAATGTCTACTCTAAATGGGGATAATGCTCGCCTCACTATGCATCCTCCACTGTGAGGTCCAGTTTGGCGGTAGAAACTACATTATTAGAGAATTTAAATTCGCATTCGACTATATATTGGCCGTTGTCCATGTCGCTGAAGAAGGAACTTAAGTCGCAATCGGAGGCTGTATGTTCACCCTAAAAAATAAGAATCAGAGGTATATGTAAACTCGAAGAACGTTGAACGTATGCTCGAACTGATCTACAGCATAAATGCTTGGTATTTTCATCACTGAAAAGAGATTCCACTTGAAACACAACAAAGTTCAGTTTCCTTCTCTTTTACTCGATTTCTCTTTTCTACGTTCGACAGTCGACTCGAGCTGTTTGTTTATAGTACGGACCACAACATAGCGAGATCGTAAACGTAGGTGTCTAAGTTTGCACGTTTCAGCTCTCAAAAACAAGTAAATTGAAAAATACGAGCATCTAAGGACCTTAGACCATAGTTAGGGCCGTACAAAGAATATTTTATCTAGTGTCGCCATTTTTAGAGGTAATAGGTAAAGGTCTTACTCAAGTCTTTAATATCTTAATTTACCTGCTCATAATATATGCAAATATAGAAAATAAAAAAACTCTCAAGCAAGATGTCGTGTAAGTGTTTAGTTTAGGACCTTGCTATACTATGGCCCGAACTATACACATTTTTTTACCTGAGCTACGGAACACGAGTCGTCATCGGGTTCCGGGGCGTCGATCGAGCTACAAATGTTATAACTTTCGAATTCCTTTATCGGCTGCTTGAAATTTTGATTGAACGTGTTAACAAGCTGTTCGTCTTTGAATATCTTGATAACAACCTAGAATTGAATAACTCATTTTGATCGATTGCAGTTTACAAATTAAAGTTTGTTTTCCGAGTATGCACAAAGGCACGTTCGACGATCCATTGATGGGCAACGAGGTAGTAGTTAATATTAAAACAATGTATGCAATTTAATATAATAGTACCTGTGCTGCACTTGGGCAATTTTGACTAACACCTATATTCGATGTAATGAGACCATTCGAAAGGCTTGGTGACCAGGAATCAAGTACATTGTTACCGTTGGTAACATCTGCGTTATAGCTGTGTACCGTCACCTTCTTCTCAGCCTAATATATACAATGAAAAATTTATTATACATAGAAACAATGGATTTCGATAAAACAAAACAGTGCACATTTTGTTTAGTTTGAAACGAAATAAAATTTACAGTAATTTTTCACTTTGTAATCAACATTTTTTTTACTGTTTTAATTACTAAGAAGATGAGAAATATATGTATAAATTGCTTAGTGAATATATTTCCTGCTGACAAAATGTAATCAGATTATATTCGTTACGAGACAATTACATGCAATTGCATTGTAACAGCGTAATAATTACACAATAATTAAACCGATTTTGCGTACTTTGAAGATTTACAATTACGATTATACAGCGATTAGACAATAATTACCGTGTTATTATAGTGTAATTACAGTCCAATTAAATGTAAGCGATCGTAGCAAGTGTAATGAGATTACATTCTGTCCACCTTTAGGAACAGCCCCCTTCAACTCTGGTACCCCTTGAGTCTTATCAATACTAGTTATTTTTTATATTAATTTTTAAAAATTTTAAATAATAGAGAACAAATTACCACTAAAATATTTATCTACGGTATGTCACAGCGTTTGCAAGACGTCGTTACAAAAAAATATTAAAATTCAATTTTTTTATAAATATTTTATTATTATTTAGTACTTTGAATGTTTGAAGTACAATAAATGTTTTGTATTATTATTAAATTTGAATTTTAATCGCTTCAAAGGGTTTTTTTAATCATTGACAATCGACAAAATTAATATTTCTATTCCTATTATAATTTCTAGGAGTGAGATTATACCAAAAATATATAAAAGTATATTCTTTTTGATTGAATATCGGAAAATTGATTAATTATAAGTGATCGACATGAAATAAATAAAATTACAATTTATTTAAAATTCTCTTACTTACGTTGGTATACGACAACGAAACGATACATAAAATAAGCACTAATGGCAATTTTACAAATGAAGACTGCATTCTAACGTTTTAATCGACAGCTCGGTAGGTACAAACAAAATGTTACTGTTTCACCGTCGACGGATCGCTGTTATTTAAGCTTGCAAATGAATTAGTGTGCGTTATATTGTCACTGTAAATTGAGTATTTTATAACGATACAGCTTGAACAATTGCATTTTATTGGGATATCATACGTCAAAACGAATTCATTGTGTCGATGGTTACGTGATACCTTTCCGTGGGAAACAAAAATTGAATGCATGGGAAAAATGTCCCACAATATCGTACAAAACAAGACAAAATGTCCGTACGAGATATCAAATCCCGATCTGCCTGTATATTACACAACAAGCTTAATGCAAACAGCCTGGAGGAAGTTTTTTATTTCATTTATATTTGCTTCGATTCAAATGTTTTACATTTTAAAAACTAGCGTGTCAAACAAATTAAAAAAATTATTCTCGGTTGCGGGGGTCAATTACAATCATTTTTGGTCATTACGCATACCCCCGAAATCCTACGCACTTTCGAGAAAAAAAATCGGGTAGATGCTGAAATTTTTCGACGAAAACAAAATTTTTCAAATCGTTCTAAAAAAATTATTCTCGGTTGCGGGGGTCAATTACAATCATTTTTGGTCATTACGCATACCCCCGAAATACTACGCACTTTCGAGAAAAAAAATCTAATTAGGTGCCTAATTCGACGAAAAAAAAATTTTTCAAATCGTTTTAAAAAAATTATTCTCGGTTGCGGGGGTCAATTGCAATCATTTTTGGTCATTACGCATACCCCCGAAATCCTACGCACTTTCGAGAAAAAAAATCGGGTAGGTGCTGAAATTTTTCGACGGAAAAAAAATTTTCCAAATCGTTCTAAAAAAATTATTCTCGGTTGCGGGGGTCAATTACAATCATTTTTGGTCATTACGCATACCCCCGAAATCCTATGCACTTTCGAGAAAAAAATTCCTTATCGAAAATCTAATTGGGTGCCTAATTCGACGAAAAAAAAATTTCAAATCGTTCTAGAGAAATTATTTCCGGTTGCAGGGGTCAATTACTAAGCTAGGAAGACTAGTAAATCTAGTACATTTTTGTAACATGTTTTTTAAATTGCCATAATTTTGTTATTCTGTTGAAAAATATTTAACAATCATTCTACACACATGGGTGTCCACCGCCACCATGAGAAACCTATACGGACGTTAGTATTTCCCGCGTATTCGCATTTTATATGCCAGTAAGGTTATTGTTATTGTTTTATGGTTGATTTTGACAAATACAGTTGTTTGTTTACTTCAAAGTGTAGTTTATTTCATTTTCCTAAATCAACGTTTTAGTTATGAACGTTGAAAACGAAGATAAAGCAACATACGTGGTGACTAACTCCACACTTTGGTAACTTTTTCATTCTAGTAATTATCGTACTTTTTTTCTAGGATATTTGGTAACCAGATACAACCTATACATATAACTAGAAAACTAGTTCATTTTTAACGTTTAGTTGGTAATAATTATGTTACTAGTAAGTAACCTATTGTACATTGTTTGATTTCCTACGAGTAATATTTACGAATTGCTCAATTAAAAGACATATTAAAACATGAATAAATTACGTTTGTGTTTTAATAATTTGGCAAGCATAAAACCTACAAATTATGAAGGTAAAAATTTTTGTTAAAATTTGAATTATGTTTTGTATTGTTTAATGTATTTACTGTACATCATGTTTTTATTATAAATATAGGTCGTAGATTTATTAAACGATGGGTATCTCCAACTCTACGTACAATAACCAAGAGAAAAAGAGAATTACCTCCACAACCAGAACCTAGACGAAGTAATTTTATAGACTGGAATAGGGACGCAGAAATATATGCATTTAATCGAAGACTTTCAGAAAATTTCACAACAGAAATATTGGAGCAAGCATTAACCCATAAATCGTATATTTTTGAGGAAGAGAAAAGACAAAAAGCCATTGGAATAGAGAAACCTGAGTTTGACATACCACATAATGAAGAGTTAATAGAAACTGGAAGAAACTTAACTTCTAAAGTCATAAAGAACTATTTGAGTAAATCTTTGCCACGTCTTCCTGAGGATGGTATTAAGTATGTATAAAAATAAGTTGAATGGGAATTATTATAATGTATTATTTTAACTAGGTACTCTTAAATTTTAAATAAAATTTCGCCCTTTTTTTTTACAATTTATTAATCTTAATGTATTCAATAATTACATTTTAGAGCCATCCATGACTACCTTATGTCTCAAGAAATTCTTGCCACAGCATCTTCACATATCGGGACGAAGGACCTTATTCTGAGTGGTGTTTGTATACATGATTCATTGTTCATCTATACATAAGTTGTTGCATATATAGTATTTAGTTATAAACATAAACTTTTCATATTTACTATGTAGGAACATCCAATAGCAGAAGAAACATTGGCTAAAACATTTCTAGCACTTATAGGAGCACTTGCTGTAGATGTCAATGAGGATCATGCGAGTACTTTTGTTCGAGATTTTCTAATAGTGGGATTAGCAAGCAAGGATTTAACTGAAATATGGTGCCCGACAGAACCATTTGAAATGTTAAATGATATTATTTCTAACGAAACAAAAGCATCTGTAGAACCAAGACTTATTAGACAAGCTGGAAGAAATACTATTCTGTCGTCTTATCAAGTTGCAGTTTATTCAAATAAACAATTTTTGGGTTCAGGTAGACACTTAAATTAGCTAAATGATTATAAACATTTCACAATCGCTAACTGGATCACCGGTCAAATAATTAACGGATTATATTTTTAGGTTATGGTCAAACTGTTAAGGAAGCAAAAGATGTAGCTGCTATAAATGCGTTATGCAAAATGTTTGGTTTATTGGATTCAAGTCAACCATTAAAGTTCGATAAAAAAATAGATGTGTCTACTTAAAAATAATTATCTTAATGTATATTAAAATTGTAAAATATTAAGTATTAAAAATGATTTACTACGTATATGAAAAATTGTAATTTGTATTATAATAATGCCTTACGTATCGAATGTTTGATTTGATAATACCTGAAATATTATAGCTTTAACAAATTTTAATAACTTACAATTCGAGGTTAATGAAAGTCGTACGCGAATAAAATTGTCCATATGATTTTTCATGCCAATAGAAAAGATTCATTTTCCCGTATTATTCGCAATAGTGAACCAGTGATGAAATGTACTGAATAAAATAACAATAAGTAAGTATATATTGCAAATATAAATTCATTGGAAGCAAAACTAAATAAGATTATTAACACACAAAGTTGAAAATGCTGACTGTTCAAGCACTACAGGTTATATGACTCTACCTTTAGTGACATCTTGTGTACATATATATGTATAAGAAACGAGATATATATATATATATATATATATATACGCAATAAAAAAGTGCATAATTGATTAGTATAATCGTAATACGTGACGTGATGACTGACATTTGTGGTTGTGTATAATTTTTGTAAAGTTGTATGCAACAAAACCCACCAAAATAGTAACATGGCTTTTTAGCATGAACATAAAGCCAACAATTTAATAGCTAGCATAAATATTACATTTTTATAATTAACGATTTGTTTGTATTTGTTTACTTATCCATATTCTTATATTCTTTCAGTTTGTAAGCTGAAAAGGTAATATAAATGATGATAGTAACGAAATATTGATACTGGTAAATAATTCATGTAATATTTTTTTAGAAAAATATTAGTAATTCAGAGATTATTAAGTATATTAATGACGTATTAACATTAATAGAGTAGCAATGCCCATTATTTTTCTAACACATTATATTCTGTATTAAATGTTTTCAACACCTAATTATTTTATATTCTATATTGCTTTTATTATTTACAGTTCATATTATAAATACATTTAATATGCAATTATACCTATCAAAAATTTTTATTTAGTATTAGCTGTATATGTATTTCAATATTGATAAACACAAATTTTATAGTCAAATATTTCACATTAAATTGTTCCAGTTGTAAAATCCTACAATTATTGTTCACGACTACTTAGAAATATTTGAAGTACTTTATGTTCTATTTATAAAATCTATATAATTTCCTTCCAAAATAAGAATATCGTTATCTCAATTGTAATGGCTGCATTTAATAAATTTAAGTTAATATTTTTGTTCGTAGCAGCGAATATGTACGATTCGCATGCATAAGTGTTGCTCAGAAATTAAATGAAATTGTTACGTGTTACAACATTTATATGTCGTCCAAAATTTTTCTATATCGGTCGCAGGTATAATATTGATTACTTATGATTCATGCTATCCCCTTTAAGGTGGTTCATCCTTGTCCCCATCCGCACTCCACCGCTCCGAGTTTCCGCCACTTCTACCGCCTTCTCCCTCTTTCTCTTTCCCTCTTCATTTTTGTTTCTCTTTTTGTACATTCGTCTCACTCTTTGTCCTCTCTGTTTCTTTCGCACTTTGGCTCGTTCTTTGTCTATCATTCTTTCTTTCTTTCTCACTTCTGAACATAAACACACATACGCGTTCCCCGCACACAAATGCTCAGAATCGCACGTATTATCCCACTACTTGCTCTATTCCTGCGTGTAACGACTCAATGGCGCTGCCACACCCTTTCGCCATCGGGTAATCAGTGTTATTGTTTTATAGTTCCACTTCTGTTATTGCTCCTCAGTATAACAAGTATAATGTATTGATTAGCGATATTTACAAACTCGGTGACGCGGTACATTTGCTTAAGCAAAAGAGAAACCGTCATTCTTGCAAAAGTAGTCAAAATATATCGATAATCTAGGAATGACACAGGAACCAATTTGTGTGCTGTCTACGCCTCTGGATTCTTGGTGCCTGGGCTTGGTTTTACAGACACCATATTCTCCTCGTCTTGAAGCAAATTAATAATTTGCAGCATAAAATATGGTTGCACGATTAAAGAATAAAGAAGTAATTAAATGTATTTCGTCACTATTTAGATTCAAAAATATTCCTAGGCTCATTCGTATACATTATACTCTGGTTAAATATAATTTCTTATGTTCTAAACATACATACGTAAATTGTGCAATGTTCTTCGTTGTTAATCGAAGTTAGACATTTATTAACCGTAACCTTTTTGGTCCAATGTTGTCATTTTATTTTGTAAGACAAAGCTATTGCATAATTTAGTTCTATTTCTCAAATATTGCAAAAAAAATATTCATTTTAGGTTATTGTGAAATACAGCAATAATACAACTGAATGTAGTAATGCGTCCAAAAACCTAGGTATATACAATGTGCATGATGCATTAGATGAACAAAACTACATTACTCATATGCACAGAAATATGGATTTGAAATATGCTAAACGTTTTTCTGAAATCTGAAGAGATTGGTGGAAAACTTCGTAGCCTGTTTAAGACTTGGTAGATCTCTCATTCTCTCGTGTATTTCGCCCCCTCCTCTTTTTTCTATCTCCTCCAACTCGGTAAAACGGGATTCTTTCCTTCTCTGGTCTGCCGTTCTCCGTACACTCGTGTGTTGGTGGATTGCCTGGCGTCCATGAAGCCTTTTGCGACGTTGCCACGCGTATGCCAGTAATGCATCGTTGCCGAGTCCTCTTGTACTATCTCGGTCTTTTTCCCTCTTTTGTGTGCTTGCTCGATCTCGCTTAGACCTTTGGCTGTGCGCGGCCAGGATCAACCATATACCCTCCTTCGCCAACGGCCGACATCCCTACCTATACTATTCACAACCCCCTCCTTCCCTTCTCTTCATTTCTGTACTCTTCCCTTCCCAACCCTTCTCGTCCCTTCTACCCGGCCGCAAAGCAGCGAGTTTGCTTGTGCCCGATGCAGTGCCGTATACAACGCTTTATCCCACGTTATATCTATATTTGCAAAAGAGCAATTTTATAGAATTAACCATGGCTGCTTAAAACATCTACACGCCTAAATAATTCTCTCCTTTTTCTTCAATATAGAATACATTTAAGAGAAGTTTAATAATTTTATATATTACGCAGCGAAACATATGAAGTAATTGCCAAATAGACGATAATACGAGGAATATAATTCGTTAAATCTGTTGGGACTTAAAAATAGTTAATAACGTTGTCTCTATTTCGCTACAATCTCTTTGTTGTCTCCAAATTGCTTTTACATTATATTTTTTGAACCAACATGTAGCTGTTATTCCATTTTATTTTGTTCCGTAACGAGTTAACTTATTTTTCATTGTTCCGGTAAATTCAGAATTACATACAAACCTTTCTGAACTCTGCAAAGAATAATAATCTTCGAGTGAAAGTAGAAATTAGGGAATATGCTAGAAGTGGAAGGAAATTTGAAAGTTTACGCAGAAATAATGTGGATGAGCTAAATACCGTATTGAATATATGGTACAATGTACAATACACACAATGTGCATGGAACAAACGTTCGAAATACTTTCCGAACCGTATTACAAATACCGTATGTACATTTTTCCGTACATTTATTCTAGATTTTGGCTTCCAAGCTATCGCCTTTAAGTCGCGGAGATCTTTCAAGACGTATACATGTATTCCTCTTTTCACCGTGCCGTTAACACGCAAGGTAAGCATTCTATATCGTAAATTTTTTCGCAACACCGGACGCATTCTGTATCACGTGCACGTGAAACCAGAATTCAATGAGCAGTAGACTGATATATACGAAAATGATGAATAAAAAGGGAAAAATGCGCTGAGAGGAATTGGCAGTGGCACTGAAGGAGCCATCATAAAACGGGCCTGAGCTAGTGTAGACCTCCGTCCCCCGCGACGGTACGTCGACGGTCGGTTCGGTTGCTCGCTCGTTCTCGTTCGTTTTCGCCCCACTCCAACTCGTACGTCCCCGGTCCCTTATGACCCCACCTGCCCCGTATCCAGAAACTCTACCCTCACCCCGCCGCATTCAATACCCCTTCCCCCGAACCTCTCTGTGATTCCGCCTTGCCTGCTGCCAGCCAGCCGTCCGTCCTTACGTCCGTCCGTCCACCGTTTGGATCTATGGTTGTGTCGGTGGATTTCGTGACGTTAACCTGGCGGCCCTGAAAACGTTGGACTGACCGTACGATTTCGACTACCCTTCGTTGGGGCGCGAATGTAAGACGCGAGTGTTTTTTAATCATCGTGGCCGCCGCTCAGGAATACCACGGCTAGTTCGGGTAAGAGAAGAGAAATGTGTGGTGAAACTAACCGATACGTTCTCGTTCGTGTTGAGCTCCTGCGAGGAAGTCTAGACTTGTAGCCAGTGTCGACAAAGAAACGTTTTTTGGTGTACGGAAAAAAATTGTCAAAACATATACATACATATGTACCTCGTTCTTTTCTTTCTTTCTTCGTTCATGTACAGACGCGCGTATCCTATACTGTACACACACGCGCGCGCGCGCACACACACACATACACACACACCATGCGATCCTTCCCTTCCATCCTCCTTTCTTTGAACAATATGCGTAAGTGTACAGAATTTCAAATTTTCTTTCTCTTATATACACTCACATTTATACACATACCTCACTAAATTGCATTATAAAGTGCATTCTATTCCCCCTCCATTCCCCCCTTTCTCTTTCCATTTATTCTGCTTATTCTTCGATTGGGATAAACAAGGAGAAGGGTAATGAAAAAAAAAGAGAGAAAACGACTGTTTCTGAACCTCTGTCCAAGTCTAAACAGTTACACAGTGTTATTCTTACGAGTGTGCAGTGAAACGATTCCCCGTGAAATGTGACCGTGTTCGTCGATGTTAAATTCATTTGCAACATTTGAAGTGCGTTCTGATCGGTCGTTCGTTCGTTTGTCGATCGTTCATTGATTCGTGGTATCCGTGTCGTGGCAGTTCACTGGTTTCACGTTCTTTCTTTTTTCTTTTTTTTTTAGCCCTTTGGTCGCTTACATGTTCCTTTTGCCTTATAGTTTCGTACGTCTTCGTCGCACGTATTTAACCATGTTATAAGGTTATCAAAAGTATCGTGTTTACGAAGTGCTCTCCATAGTGTCGGAGTTACCGACCGAGTGTTACTTCTGCTGTTTTCCTGTGCCACATCGCTGTGCCTGCCTGCGTATTTAGACTCTGTGTGTCATGTTCCTTTCCCCTCGAAGATTTTAAAGGTGTTGTTTCAACGGACTTACTGTGTTTTGGTGATGCATCGTGTGATCTCCGTACCGGTTAGTAAAAGTTTTCTATTCGTACGCGACAATCGCGTTTATATGGTATCCGAGGCAGTGTGAGCGTGCTGGAGAGTATTCAAGATCCTGAAATAGCGAATCTAATAATAGGCGATATCTTATTCCGACCACTTTTCGTGTGAACTTGAAGATAACAACGCAGCGTGTGATTAGTTAAAAAAAATTGTACGTATGTTACATAATTGTTACATGTCCAAAATGTTATCCCTTGTAGATGGATAAATTTACACGGTCGTAATTCTTTTTATTCTTGAACATTACCATAAAGTATAATGTATTCGTAGGAAATAACAGAGTCGAATGAAACTGTTGAACCATTGGTGACGTGTCGCTCTTTTGTATTAGCAACATTTTCCCCTTGCACTGTTTAAACATAAACGATCGCGTTGCGTTTCAGTTAGGCAACGAAATCATTAATTTGTTTTGTAGTCGGTGATAAAAAAGACTATTATTGTTTCGATAATTGTGCAAACCTTCTATTAGATTCTTGGTCACGGTCTTTTATTACATGATAATTAATGCATCTTCAATCACTGTATTCGAGGAGAGCGATGCAAAATATCTTTTTTGAATAACTCCTTCAATTGTCGCGTTTTGTTAAATATCATTGAGTTTTGTACTCTGTTTTATTCGCAAATTAATTGAAGCTTAACATTTTACGTTATCTTAGTTTCGTCTTCAGATATGTACACTTATATGATGCCGCTTAGTCCGTCGTTGTACGAGTTCAGAAAATTCATTACTTATTTTTCCCGTTGCTTTAAAAATCGTGTCTGAGGACATCGACTATTTAATTTTGAGTGCACGCCCACTGTTATGTAAGTCAACCACATAAGAATCATCGTGTACCTTATCACTTATCTACGAAGTACTTTGATCGAGAGGAACAGTTCGATGTTGCTGTATTGATATTTTATAAATACCCGTCTAGAATTTCTAATACAATATACACTTAAAACCGTAGTATTTAAACTCATTATTTTCATTTCGTTCTGTTAGAATTCTTTTTACATTTACCAAATTTTAGTTATTAAATATATGACATCACTGAAATTTGTTATAATCATAGTAAATAATATTTAAACCAAACGTGTATGAATAGAGTTACAAAATTGTAAAAATTATATTTTTTTTATTTTTAAAATGTTTTTATAAAATTTATAAATTTTATTTACTATAACAAAATCTTACAGCAGACGTTGAAATTATGTCATTCTTCCATATACTTTATCGTTTGCATAAGATAAATAGAAGAGATTTCACAAACCTAAAGACATCGAATTTTTCTTGAAATATATGTATAACTATTTCAATTTTACATATTTCCTATAATTTCTCGAATTTTTACGTGCAAACGGTCATGTGAGATTTTTTGTTCGTTCATTGATGTTTGTTAACTTTTTTCCTGTTTTAATCAGTGATGGAAATAAAAATAATTTATATATCGACTAGCTTATGCAAAAGTATCATAATAGAAAGCTGTCCGTGGATAAAAACTTGTTTGTTCCATAACGTATTTCAAACTGTAATTTTACATTGTTTTTTTCAATTAATTAATTTCAGTCGCGTATATCTTAGTGTAAACAGACAATTATGAAATATTTATTTTTATATTATTAGTAGTAATTTGAAATTTTTATTTTCGGATTTCTGAAGATTTATATTGCTTTTAAATTACACTGAATGCACATTGTTTATAGTACTATATTGAACTTCATACGTGGTCAAGAAATTTTTGTAACAGTTTGAAAGCCTATAACAATTTATATTCATTAATTATAATTAACTGCGATTTGGAAGGATTATTAAGATCATGTGTAATTATATAACAATTACGTAACACGGCATAATCTTGTTACTGAATCTATAAAATATTCCAAATCATTAGTAAATTATCATCAAAAGATGTATGTAATATTTTTCAAAATTTCTGATAGTTACTTGGCACCACAATAAGTAAATTTCACATTAGAATATTTTGATGATGATAATTTCAAAACGAAACAAGTTTTATTTTATCTGACTTAAAATTTCGACTCTATAACTATACAATTTTTTTCGTCACTGTTTCATCTCATTTTACTTCACAATTTATATATTATTATACACGAAAATAAGAATCATATTTTATTTCATGTAGAAATATAGGATGTTGATATTAGTGATTCTTTATTTTCAATCATTTTATATAAATGTAACATTCTTTTTCATACTTATTGATTGCATCTAGGTTCTTACTGTTTATATATTTTTCCATAATCTATAAACATTTAAAACTGTAGAAAAATTAAATAAAGTTTGTATTAATTTTTATAAAAATTCATTCGCATAAAATGACCGTTTACTACATACATATATATTGTTAGTTTCGTTTCGTTTAAGTAGCTACATAATTTGCTATGTATGGTGTTTTCGTAAGCAAAGAAAAAGTAAATGTAACAGCCATACTAATGAATAATTATTTGTCTGTACACGAGACATAAGATAGACTTAAAGTAAAGATCCTTGTACATTGAAATTCTTGAGAATAATAATTTTCTAGCTTTCTATATTAATAACCATTTCGACTGTTCTCGAAATCACATTCGTAATTCCATAGATTTTGGATATTATAATAATAATTGATAAAGGCACGTCAAGATTAGAATGAAATATAATATTTCTTCGCATACATATTTTACTTTGTACTCGTGCAACGAGAAAGTCATTAATATAAATAACAGTGCAAATAGTAGACAAATTGATTTTGTAATCTACACATTTATACCATTTCTTTTTTTTTATATTTTTGAGTTCGATTTAAGAATGGTATCGTAAACTTTCTGTTTGGTAACTGACATAATTATTGGAAAGTGGAAATAAAGATACAGACAAAGCGCATACTTTCGTTAGAATGATCTATTGCTTCGCACTCGCCCTTTTTACGCATTGACGCGCTACAAAACTACACAGTCCAGTTCGGTTTGATTCGACTCTTCTCGGTTCGACTCGGCTCGACTTTGAGTCACAACGACTGCGGAGCTATCGACCGTTCTAGGTTTAGCAAGATAATAATAATTCGGACGGAATGTATTCAGCGGGAATGAAATGAATTCCTGTACGCTTTACACGTTGTTGTATTAGTTATTATTAGTTACACTAAGGAGACTAACTAGCATTCTAAGTATAATCCAATTTTTGTCGTCCATTTTCAACAGTACACAGTCCTTCCTACTTCAGCACAAATGGAATACTAAATGATATTCAATTTAGTTGAAATTCTTTTCGTTTACAACAACCGTCCGCATTAATATTTATTTTCAAGATTCTGGTAGTTTCAACGAAATCTCAATATCGTTTTTCCAAATTTGTGTAATATAATATGATATCTTATTTTTGAGTATATAATATTATTTATGGGTTCTTTTAAACTACATATATTCGATAATTTACTACTAATTTAAATATCAACTTCTATTCTCCAGTTAAATACAAACATAACCTTAATTTGCAAATGCAATTATATTATATGTACGCCATTTTTATTTTAAACCATTTGACGTGTTTCTTTTTATCAATGAAACGAGGAAATCAGTTTCATATTTATGGCGAATAGACATTCGCGAAGTGTCAAATATCAATTTCGGTAAACCTGTATATTTGTAGAGGAAGCAGAATTGAAAATTCGCATGTCTTATTTGAAAACGTTCAGTTTTAAGAAATGTGCCACCTATAAAATTTCTGTCATTTATTCAGCGTTTAAAGTTTAAAAAAATCGTGCTCAAGTACAAAAGAATAAATCATTTTATTTACATATTGAATAGTCATGTACGCATAAATTCACTCGCGAATAAGTACAATTTCCTTGTGAAGTAGTATGCTAATTCTATTATTAATACCTTTCTGCAGCATATGCTTTTTGTAATTACGTATGTCGACATTTTAGGGTCCAAGGCAAGGGAAAGTGTTATAAATCCAAAGAGACTTTGAATAAATTACGTACATTTGAAAATTCTGAATAAATGAAAATTAGACATCATTATACATAACTACAAAAGCATGTCGATAGAATACGCGTGCATTAATTTATCGTTTTAGCTGAATATTGGTCGTTTCGACATGTTTTATAAGTCAAGACATTTATAAATGCTTTACAGAACACCTATACTTTTACGTGACAAGGTAAAAGACCTCGCTGGTTCGAGCTATTCTTACTTTAGAATCTAGAAAGGTTAAACGTAGTCAATAACCGATACTCGGATATTATCTTATGCACTTTGAATTTTAACTATCATTCGCCTACAGATACTATTTATTATTTATTATTACCTAACGGGATATTACTTTCTTATCATTTTTTAATCATATTGATTTTTTTGCACGATACTACGGGAGTAGACGGAACGTAATTCGAACGCATGAAAATCCCCTGCCGCAGTACATATTTCCCACTATGATCGATCCTCTCTACCGTATGCGTGGTACACGTATTTCGATTTCAACCCTCGGATGGCGGGCTCCGGTCCATTTTGACCCGGCCTCGAATTTTATTATTTCATATTCCAATACGTACAAACTTTTTCATTAAATTTTTCCGTTATTGTATTTATAAATTCTTCATCGGCGAATGTCCTTGATTTTACAAGCTAGCTTAGCATTAACGTTATTATTAATATTTATTAAAAGCTTAACTTTGTTCAGGAGGGCGTATAAAGCTTGAACAATAAATTTTTGACACTTCCATTTACAAAATTCCATTTTTAACACTTTGACGGCCGCTGTCACGTATACGTGACTTCGAGAGCCAGCAGACGTCGGCCATTGTCACGCGCGCGTGATCTACTGTATCAGTCACCATTTTATTGTACATTCAACTTATTACGTTTGTTTGAGGTTACATTTATAATTCCTTATAATTTATAAAACTTTGGTGTACTATACTATATTTAGATATACGTGAATATGCATTTTGGCACATTAATTCATGGGCGTGACTCATCCTTTTCTAGTTTTAAAATACAAACCGAGTGTATTGAACATCGTTACGTTTGCACGGTGGTCTATGCGATCTTTTGAGGATTCCTTATTATTTGCGTAATTATGTTATAGATTATAGGTCGCTGATTTGAATATCTTTTGTTGTAAAGCCGTACAGCAGGTTTCGTCACCGATCGTACAATAAGACAATTTTATACTATTCTTAATTGAAATATATTGATTTTTCCATGTACGTTTTTTTTTCTAATTTCGTGACACTTTCACACCAGACCAATCTCTACGTTCTATCACATTTTTTTAATCGTTAATTTGTAGAATATTACTCGTACCAACTTGGAAACAAAGATTAGCTTTGTTCTCTTAGTTACAGTTTTCTGCTCCGAGTATCTTTTCTAATATTTATTGTACGTAAAGACGTTCAAATTGGCAGAAAACACGTCGCAGTACAAATATTTCCACGAGAACAGTTGTCCCTCAAAGTACGCGGTTTTTTCGCGATCTTTGAAGTCGCCGCATTCTCTTTGAAGCCGCGGTCTTCCCGCCGCTACAAATAATGATTCTTTAAGACATAGATCCTTCGATGATACGTGTATTAAGATAAAAACAATATGTGGAAGAAAAAACATCGACGCTGTACAGAAATATTTAAAAAAAAATGCGAAAAGAGATTAAAAAAATAAAGTTTCAAATCGTTCTGGAAAATTTATTTTCGTTTGCGGGGGTCCATTACAATAATTTTTGGTCAATAGAGATACCCTCGAAATCCTACCGGTTTTCTAGAAAAAAATTCGAGAAGCTATGGAATTTTTTGACAAAATTAAAAAAATTCAAATCTTTCCGGAAAAATTATTTTCGTTTGCGGGGGTCAATTACAATAATTTTTGGTCAATAGGAATACCCTCGAAATCCTACCCGTTTTCTAGAAAAAAATTCGAGAAGGTAGGGAATTTTTCGACAAAATTAAAAAAATTCAAATCTTTCTGGAAAAATTATTTTTGGCCGTGGGGGTCAATTACAATCATTTTTGGTGAATAGACATACCCCCGAATTCCTACGCATTTTCGAGAAAAAAATTCAGTAGTTGGGCAGATTTTTCGACAAAATTATAAAATTTCAAATCGTTCTGGAAAAATTATTTTTAGTTGCAGGGGTCAATTACAATAATTTTTGGTCAATAGACATACCCCCGAATTCCTACGCGTTTTCGAGAAAAAAATTAATTACTGAAAATTACATGTCTGACCATACCGTTGATATGTTTCCCTGAAATTTCATGAAAATGTTTAAACCACCATAACTTCCGAATGGATTGGCGGATTTTAATTTTTAAAAAAGCAAACTACGCGTATTTTGACGGAGAATATGTAGCAATACCAAGAATATTGGAAAAGTTGTTTCTGAACCCCGTAAAATTACCCCATAAAAATGGTCCAATTCTTAAACGACCACAACTCCTAGAATAGTGAATATATTTCAATGAAATTTTGGGTGGAAGTAGAGTTCATGGATACCTACAAAAAAGCATTAGACAACTTTTCTATAGGGCGTCAAACAAAATGATTAAAAATCAAGAACGAATTTCAGGGGGTAGGTGCCTAAATTCAACGAAAACAAAAAATTTCAAATCGGTCTGGAAAAATTATTTTCAGTTGCAGGGGTCCATTACAATAATTTTTGGTCAACAGAGATACCCCCGAAATCCTACCCATTTTCTAGAAAAAAATTCGAGAAGTTTGAAATTTTTCGACTCAAAAAAAAATTTCAAATCTTTCCGAAAAAATTATTTTCGTTTGTGGGGGTCAATTACAATAATTTTTGGTGAATAGACATACCCCTGCGTACTTCGAGGGACCACTGCAATATTTTTAAGTTTTCCTAACCTAGCATGGTAATATTGAAAATATATAAACTACTGTACATATATAGGTGTGTGTGTTTTGACAAAATAACTATTTCTCAATGCTAAATCATAAGAGTAACGATAAAATATACGCTATTTATTAGGGGTTGAAAACAAGTGTAACAAGAGTTATGTTTGGAATAGTTCTTCGTAACTGTTAGATGTTTGCATAACAGTTACTCGGAATAAAAATGTTTCATAACTGTTTCAATCAGTATATGTAATGTTTGAATTCAGTTATATCCGAAACGTTTCAACCCCTGCTATGTAAAAACCGTGTGAAAAAGGAAAAGTATTAAGGAATAACGTTTTGTTTACAGGAACACTGCCAGGCTAATGCCGTTGCTGCCATCGCCGCCGCTACAGTCGCACGAGAACGAAACGATGCGCGAGGAAGAAATGCCTCGACGCTCTAAAGTAAATTGTGTAACATCGTGAAACCCGGTGGTCGTTACGTTGAGGAGAGAAAGAAATACAGTTAGTATTACTTCGACATGAAGCTTGTTACTTGAGAACGGATGGAAACGAAACGCAGGATATAAGGAGAAAGATTAGCGAAAAAAAAAGAAAAGAAGAACCGAATAGCATAAACATTGAAGTTTAGTTGTCCTCGCGGGTGCGACGGTCGACCTGAATGTGCGTGTGAGTGCGCGAGCGTTGGTTTTCTGGTGGGCACGCAAAAACTGTGTATTTCAACGTTCCACCATCTTGAAAGTCATCCAATTTCTCTCTCCTGGCGGCGCTGGTTCAGTGCGCGGGAAACGTGCACAGTGCGTGCATCGTACACGCACTGTGCTAGGTTATGAGCGAAGGAAACCTCGCATCGGGAGGAACTGCGAAATAACGGTTCATCGACAACACAATAGGACAGCGATGAAAGCGAGTTCGCTGATAACTTTACATCATTGTGGGAGCGATAACGAGCGCCGTAGTGGTAGCGGTAGCAGCACCAGCAACAGCAGCAGCGGCAGGGGCAGTAGTAACAGCAATATATACGTCACTACCAGCTTAAACAGATATGACAATGGTTCTAACGTCAACGGGAAATCGCGAGTGGAATATAGTGTTAAAGTTGAGTGCGGGCCAAGCAGCAGTGATGAGATTTTGGGGCAGTCGCGTTTCTACGAGGTGTTCCCGCACTGATTGCGAGTGCTAGTAGAGAAAGAGAAAGCGGGAGACAGAGAGATAGAAGCCAAGACTCTCGTGGAGAGCAGGGCACCGAAAGATATGCGGATCTTTGTGCGAACAGCTGAACCGGAAGTTGTGAGAACAAGCGGAGTGCAACGCGCTCCGCCTAATCGGTGATAGGGTCAGTCGGTTAAAAGAAGATAAAAATTGGCGTTCGCAGCGACGGCCACGCGGCATCCTTTCGCGATCACCTTTTTCACCCCCTCCCCCCTTCCCATTTGGTTTCATTTAACCTCGTTTCCCCGTCTTCTTCTTCAAACCGAATCAATCTTGTTTCTTTATTTTCTATTCTATCGTCCGTGTTCGACCGTTGAACGTGTTTTCTTAATCTCGTTTAGACGTTCGTAAACTCGTATACTGTGACGCGTAATTAAAACGTTGCTGGAAGGATAATGCGAACGAGAATCTGTCGTACAGAAGCCGCGTCACATTTCTACTTAATAACGAAGGTACACCTTTCCTTAAACGCGCACGCATATCGAGACAGTTATTTTTGTGATATTTGAAACGGTGATTGTGAGGGTATTTCTTAAATAATTTTTTTTTACATCAAAATTTACAAGCATCGAGGTTCGTTTATTTTGAGCGTTTCAAGCGTCGGTCAACAGTGGATCAACGTTACCGTCAACGTATTGACATCTATGCGCTGTTTACATCTGAGATTCAAATTCCCTGCGACCCTGACAATCAGTGTTGATTTTTTTCCATCGGTTAGAAGTCCCAACGACGTTATTACTCGTGCCCCTTCGTACTTGTTCGTATTCGGTCCGCGAGGTGGTCAACACCGATTACTAACTTCATGTTTCTCCGACTCTGATCTGCAGAAATCGTCGCTGGAGCAACAACGGGAAGAAATTTGAAAAGTCAGTTTGAGTTGTGCGGTCAGTGTCGCGGTGACGGGTTGTGCAAACGAACGCATGAAAGTGTACGTGTAAGGGGATCGACGGCCATCAAGGAAGCAACGAGACATGAAGATATAAACAGTGTGAGAGCAGTGAAGTAAAAAGGAAATGATCAAGAAAAAAAAAGAGGTTTTAAAGTAAGCCCGTGGGAAGCAAAGTTCGTCGATGTACAGTAATGTTGTGGATTAACGTGTACCGCAAAAGTTTTTAAAGTCGATATAGAATTTATACATAGATCGGTTGGTATACTCACGTATGTGCACGCGTACGTATGTGTGCGTGATCACGCGCGCACATGTACGTGATTTTCACTCGAGACTGAAGCGGTGAATTATTTTCGCGCGGATCGACCACTCGTGGGGGAAATTCGAGATCCGGCTTACCTTCCAAAGCTGACGTCATTACCGGTAAGTTGTTTTTCCGTTATTAGTAGGCTTACATACACGGGACACTGAAAATATCGCTGCTACTAGGAACGAGATCAAGTTCACTGTGCACTGACGAATATCAATTAATATAATGTCCCAGATTCGTCGCGCTACAAACGTATAACACTAATGAACATTAATAATTAAATTAACGTAGTCTCGAAACATTTGGTGTTTATAAATATTTTAAATTTGTAAGCGACGTACAAAATTACTTTCTCGAAAACAATTCCAAATCGTTCTGGAAAAAATATTTTCAGTTGCAGGGGTCAATTACAATCATTTTTGGTGAATAGACATACCCACCAAATTCTAACCATTTTCGAGAAAAAAAAATTCAGTAGTTGGGCAGATTTTTCGATGAAATTAAAATATTTCGAATCGTTCTGAAAAAAATATTTTCAGTTGCAGGGGTCAATTACAATCATTTTTGGTGAATAGACATATTCCCGAAATCCTAACCATTTTCGAGAAAAAAAATTCATTAGGTATTGAAATTTTTCGATGAAATTAAAAAATTCCAAATCGTTTTGGAAAAAATATTTTCAGTTGCAGGGGTCATTTGCAATCATTTTAGGTGAATAGACATACCCTCGAAATCCTACGCATTCTCGACAAAAAAATTTGTTTAGATGCTAGAACTTTTCGATGAAATTAAAATATTTCAAATCCGTTCAAAAAAATTATTTTTGGTTTCAAGGGTCAATTACAATAATTTTTTGTCAATAGAGATACCCCTGAAATCCTACCCGTTTTCTAGAAAAAAATTCGGGAATGTATGGAATTTTTCGACAAAATTAAAATATTTCAAATCGTTCTGAAAAAAATATCATCAGTTGCAGGGGCTAATTACAATCATTTTTGGTGAATAGACATACCCTCGAAATCCTACCCATTTTCTAGAAAAAAATTCGAGAATGTATGAAATTTTTCGACGGAAAAAAAAATTTCAAATCGTTCTGGAAAAAATATTATCAGTTGCAGGGGTCAATTACAATCATTTTTGGTGAATAGACATACCCTCGAAATCCTACCCATTTTCTAGAAAAAAATTCGAGAATGTATGAAATTTTTCGACGGAAAAAAAATTTCAAATCGTTCTGGAAAAAATATCATCAGTTGCAGGGGTCAGTTACAATCATTTTTGGTGAATAGACATACCCTCGAAATCCTAACGATTTTCGAGAAAAAAATTCGAGTAGGTATTGAAATTTTTCGGCGAAAAAAAAATTTGAAATCGTTCCGGAAAAATTATTTTTAGTTGCAGGAGCCAATAACAATCATTTTTTATGAATACATATACCCCCGAAATTCTACGTACTTTCGAGAAAAAAATTCTTTCCCGAAAATATACCGTGTGGCTGGAAATGTTTCTATAATTTTTTAACGAAGTCTCAATCAACAAATTAGTATCCTTTGTTTAAAAATATTTCTTCGGATAAATGAGACCCGGGGTATATGAAAGGTAGGGCAATAGGGAAGTAGAATTATCTATGTAAGGGGTGAGACAGAGGTAAATGATGAGATTGCTAAGGAAGTGAGTGTTTTGAAATTGTACAAAGAGGCTGTATCACTATTAATATGAACATGGTAATGCATACTTGACAAACAACAGATATTTCCAAAGCTAACCGTAGTTATCGTTATCTTTTCTATTGTGGGTTTTAAAGTCGTTTCCGATCTTGTTTGGCCTTCACCTTTATCGTATCACATACAACCGAATTCATCTTTTTCTATCTAACGCACTGTTGTTTAAAGAGTGCAGAAGAAACGAAACCGCTACATGTTCATTAAAACGTATGTAACTTTACACAGACCATATCGAATGATCTTGACTTGACTTTAAACAATGACAATGCTCTAATGATGTAAGGAACGTTTCGAAAGGATATTGCAAAACAAAATTCTTAATCGACGCAATTATATTTCGACTGTGACGATTTTAGAGAAACTAGGATAATTAAAATCCCCGTTACTTTCTTATAACATTAACCAATTTGTGTTATTTTTCATTGCTCATCATTTTTAAAATAATAATTAAATTATTTCTTGTAATCCATCGTGTTCGTAGTTTCTTTATTCTCGTTACAATCTTCTTGTCTTCCTATCATTTCACTAGACCAATAAAATGGAAATTCTGTACCTAGTCAAATATTGTTTTGGATGTGTATTGCGATCGATTATACGTAATTAGTTGCAGCACGCTTGTGCGTAAGGTTACATTTATAACGCTAATTCAAGAAATCGGTAAAATCTAACGACGAACGTTAATGCCTGATATCATAACAGTTTCACACGTAACATGTGTTTTACGAGTGTTCATGGTCAAATGAACGCACAATAGCTTCGTGAGTAGAATGTAGAAAATGGAGGAGGAATGGAATTACATGCAGTGAATCCCCCGTTGATCGAATCAATATGAAGATGTAACGGTTTCGATCAGAGAATGTTATCATTTTTCAGACGTTGTTCTTTCTATATTTTGAATACAATAATATAAATATGAAACAACAATGTGCGTGAAAAAACGACTTCCTTAACAAATCACGGATTCCATATCCATTCGACTATTAATTCGAATAAAAATTGTCTCATAGATTTTTAATAGATATTTTAAATTCTGATAATCGTAACTTTCCCAATAGCAGTGTATATTGTTAATAATTTTACAACACTGACCACTTCTCGACTTTTGCATTATCTCCTGTTTCCTTTCTATTGTTAGCACTATACTTTTCTGCACTGATGTCATCATTACGTATGAACGTGCACTGTGCAAGTTTCATACTAACCAGTTACGATTCGAATGAATTTTGTGCATCGTACGAGAATAAATTTCAAAATAAATTCACTTTAAATTCAAATAAACTAAGTTTAAAATACGTAAACTATTTCTGTATAGATTATAATAGTTACAATGTTTACGTAAAATATTTTCTAAACAAAATTAGATGAAAAAAAAACTGTGCTGGACGATTTTTAGTGTGAGCCACTGTACCTCGAACGCTTCCGGGATTCCGAAGCTATTTTTGTCCTTCGTAGTTTTCTGAGTGTACATCGAATTGCATTTACAGCATGCTCTTAAACTTAGAATTTTTAAGCAAAACTAAATATTTAATAATTCAGATAAAGAATTTAACAGACAGAAGAGAGGGATATTCTCATTTCGAACGATTCCGAAAACATCGAAATACAGTAGAAAAGTTTGTGACGTTAGGTACAGCGCTGATTCTTAAAATGAACGTCGTTCCGGGATTGACATTGTTCATCTTACGTACAACGGTGGCGAAATTCGACACCAGCAGATATTTATACTCAACGATATCGTTGAGCCTCGCAGTCGCTTTTATCTTTTGCCGACGGCCGTAGCCGACAACCGAGGAAAAGGATAGCGAGCGCGAACGAACGAGAAAAAATGTCTGGGGTTCATTCTAAGAATTATTACTGTACTTCAGAAGCTTCAAATTTATTAACTATAGCTGGACTATTAATTGGTTCATTATCGATAACCTGTAAATTATTACAGTAGTCTCTAGTATTACTAATATAGTGGGTTATAGCATTATCAGTAGAGCGGTATAATTTAAGGCAGGTTCCAAGACATCTGCGTTCGAACCAGCGCCATTCTGGCCCTGTGGGCCGTCAATTCGTCATTCCTGTTTTACAGTAATCCTAATTAAAGTAATATTGCAACACGAATGTAAGTTTAAAGTTTGAAAATGGCAATGCGTTTGAAATATTTTCAAAATAAGATTAATACACGTCCAATTCGGTCGTGAAGAAGGACCAAGACGTATCGAAGTCTTGTGGCGCAGGAACGATGCTGTTCCGACTCGACGTTGGGAGTCTGGAACGTCCAACGTCGGAATTGCTAAATGCCACAGTGCCTTCGAGAGCTCCACACGCTGCCGCAATACCAAGTTGGATGTCTCACACACCCACCACCGAGTCGGGATGGCGCTGGTCTCGCATTGTAATGCTTCGAAATATCTTGGGTACTGCGGACACGACCAGATCAGGGTTGCCAATTTCCCTTTTTCAACATCGAATTTTAGAAATCTGGTATTCTTTATCCGAACCAGCATTAGAAAATTCATTTTACTTAGATCTCGATCTTTTTTTATAACGAGGTTTGATAAACTGCACAAGTTAACCTGGACCGTGCATCTAGTGCTTGAAAATTTATTCCCAGTGACCTTACAAGTATTAACGAAAGTATATTGCTCTTGAAATTGTACTCTGAACCAAATGTGTATGTAAATAGTGGCTCTTTGCTTTTTTAATTTTTGTTTTTCTTAACCTATCGGCGTTCGGCGCCCCAGTTGACTGACTTTCGCTTATGGCCGCCAGAGTATTGCACTAGTGCTACGTCAATATGGTATATTTATAGATATCGCTTTAGCTATGGAATCATGCGATATATTGTTATGAAATTTCACACGAATGCTCATAATTAACGAGACAGTTCTATTTTCTTCATTAAGGTGTAAAACAAGATATTTGTCCCTATTATTTATCGAATTTCCTGCAAATGTGTAATTTGTCGCCACTATCGCCATTGCATCGAACTATTTTTACTCGTCTTGGTACTGTAAACTTTATAGTTTAATTCTTTACAGTATAACAAGTCTATAACAAGTAAAATATTATTTTAAATACTCTTAATGTTAGTTGCAACGTCTCTCTCATGATCCGCTATGTTGCATTAGTGCCAAATTATTTTAAATCTTTTTTGGCAGATGTCATTAATTGCCATCTGAACAGAGATCGATTGTATGCGACATTTATTATTTTATTGTTTCATGTTACGGATACCCTGTGTAAAAATTTTAATTCTTTGGCAGATCTCTTATCTTGGGAGAGCCCCTTATCGCTTTAGGAGACGAGCCGTGAAACTTAATCTTAGTTTGGCTATCCTAATACTCTATTAAAACTCACAGTCGTAAATGTAATTTTTCGCTTCGGTACCGAGTCAGCAT